AAAAAGATTTTATTTATTTTTATAATAAAAAATGATAATGTCATTCTATTTTAGTCTTAGTCTTATTCTTTTTGCATACCAAACGCATCAATGACTAAACATGTTTCATTCCATTCTCATACTCACTCCCTTCTTCAATTCATTCCATTCCTACAAAATTTCATTCCATCGTACCAATCATACCATAATAGGAAGTTTCACCACTTCAATTACACATGCTTCCAACACATAAGTACATGCCAAATGTATCAAATTAACACCAACAACCAAGGCATAAAACACAATAATTCGACCAAAACAGAGGGTATGGATCTCAGTCATTAAAAACATAAAGAGTTCAGCCATCTACCTTCTCGAGACTTCTCGACTGGTGGCTGTTCGGCTGAGAGAGGACTCGGTTCGCTTGACGAACATCCCCTGGAGACCGTCGACAAGTCCCGGGCAGCAGCCCGGTAACCGGACGTGGAAAACAGGCTGTTCGGGGATCTCGGCAAAGGATCGATCCGCTTCTCTTCTCGCCCGGGCCTGAAAGGGCTGCTGTTCGTCGGAAAAGTCCCCGCTGCTCGTCGTATAACAGGATCGGGGCTGCTGCTGCTCGGAATTGAAACCGACGGCTGCTCGATAAGAGCCTCGAGCGGCTGCTGCTCGTTGCCGGAAAAAGCTCGGGGTCTACACGGCAACGGCTGGGTGCTCTCGTCCGCCGGCAGGGCTGCTCGACTCGTCGCGAAGGGTCATCCTTCGACAGCCGCGCTTGGTCTCTTCAGCCGTCGGGAACTGAAGCTCTTCGCCGGCGTTTTCCCGCTCTCGGTTGCACGATCTCAGACGCCTGGAACTCACCGGACTGGTGCTGCTCTCGCCGAAAATCCCGTCGTTTAGGCCTGGTGCTCTTGCCGTCGGATGGCCGGAGGCCATAACTCAGAGGTCGCGGGGTGAGATGGCGGCGAGTTGCTCGCGATACAGAGGCACGCGACGGCAGTTCGGGATTGGAAGTTCGTGGTTGAACGACGGTGGCTCAGTCGATTGTTTTGGGAGGACGACGGGCTGAAATTCGCGATGGAGGAGACGATGTAATTAGGGCTGCTTTGAGGGGTTACTTAGGCTTAACTAAATGGGCTCAAAGGGCTTACATTGGGCCGAAATTAATTTAACCTACGAGGGCCAAAACTATAGCACAAAGGGACAGATTTTTGTAATGGGCCGAATTAATTTATCCGAAAGGGCCGAAAATTAATTCGAAAAGGCCGAAATAATTAACTCCAATTGGGTCGGAACAAATAGTAATAATGGGTCGTAATATTGGGTCAATTGGGTCGATACGGCTCGAAAATGAATTACAACGGATTTAAAATCGGTTTACGCGATTAAACCGAAAATCGCCAAAACAAATTAAAATTCAAATCAAATAAATCTTAATAATTCTAATATACATAAATAATATATAAACATATAATAATCACATAAGTTAGCCATATAACAATTTTATATCAAGTAGACAATATAAGACGATAATTAATACCATAATCGACAATTAAATAAAATAAGGCAAATAAATAATAATATAAAAATCCAAAAATTTTAGTAAACGAATGGGGCATTACAGTATTGAGGGAATCGATAGACATGTTAAGCTACTGCTTCAACACAGCGTGGGTACTCTCCACCATAGACGAAGTTGTATTACCAAAATGTGTTACCGAATTCGTCCACGCTTTGACAAACTTCTCCTTGTGGACTAACCATGTGTTCTCCACAAATTGTAACACTTTTTTAAACTTCGCGTACTGTCAATACATGTCACGTACTGCCTTGTGGTATAGATTCACCGTGCCCGCTTCGACAACCTTCTTGCACCTGTCGTGCGCGAACTTTTGAGCGATGTCCTTATTGTTTTCCTAGAGGTTGGCAAAAAAACTGAATTTTCCCGTCCCGTTTGTCCCGTTTCATTTTTTTCGTACAAAATATTATATACATATATATCTATATATATATATTATACATTATTATTATATTTTATATTAGTATTATAGTACCAGTTAGTTAATTAAATTAACAATATGTCATTTTGGTATTCAATCTATAATATAATTTTCTTGGTAATTTGGTCTAAGTGATACTTGAATTGGTGTGTTTTTTTTTTTTAATCGAAATCATGGAATCAATATGTTGGTTGTTTGTTTTAAATTTTAATAGAATCAATACTCTTTGGTTTAGTTTATATGTTTGTCCAGTTTTGTCCCGGTCCTGGACCGTTTTGTCCCGATCCCAAACGATACCGATCCATTTGGGACGGTGCCTCATCCCAGACCGGTCCCAGACCGATTCATAAAAGTGGGATAGGTACCGGGACAAGTCAAATCCCGGACCGTGCCCACCCCTATTTTTTCCTAAGAGTCGATAGACTCTATCTTCCACATCCTTGTTGATGTGCCACGTGCAAAGTAAGTGGGCAGATTCTGGAAAATTCCTCCGAATAGGAGTCAGCAAGCCCAACTCCCTGTCAGTGACAATGGCATTATTAGGATGTACCTCAAACCCTATCAGATTTCACAACTTTGTAGAAACCAGTCATAGCTGTACTCGCTCTCGGCCTTGATAATTGCATATGCAACTAAGAAGTTCTTATCGCACGGCATCATCCTAACAATTTCCACCAACAATATATGGTACATGTGGAAATGAGAGCAACAAGAGAAAACGTAAAATAAAAAAACTTACTCAAACATACTAATTAAAATTCATACTAATTTGTTATTTATAAAGTAGCATATCTGTTGGTTTTATACGCCGAATCTATACCGATGTACCAGTAATATGCCTGGAATAAACTGACTGCTTTTGGATGCTACACGAAGAGATGCGTCAACTATTAGAGTAGAATATCCGGCGTTCCAATCTGATTGGATCTTTTTCTACTTTTAAAGACAATTTATTAGAAATTATATTATTTTGAGGCATAACCTTATCTTATGCTTTTGCATTTATCTTATATTTGCACATATGATAAAAGTCCTTATATCATTATTAGATATAAGGCATGGTTGCGCATTTGATGGCAATCATGGAACATGTCTTTAAGGCTGTGATCTTAAATAAGTTCCAAGTTGATGGGTGTTTCGAGACAGGACATCGAATAACCCGGTAAGACTTGTGCATATGATGTATGCTCGTCGGACGAGAATGTTGCATTCCATCAACATTAGCGTGTGGACGCAAATGCGTATATGCGGGTGCTTGTTGGATAACAAGTTCACTGAACATGGCCCGATGAAAATTCTTAACTGTCGAAGAAGAATTTTCATGTTGCAATAGTACATGACTGATCCTCTAACTTGAGTCATGATAGTAATCCTGTACATGTTATGCTTTACTTTGATTTATCCTTTGATTGCTAGACGATCATAAAAGGGATATTTTGGGTACTGTAATAATATGTATGGAGGTTTATCTGTGGTCAACAGAAAATTCGACACTTATATGGATAAGTGAATTTCCTATGTTTTTCATAGTTTGTGATTCAAAGACCTTGGCCAAAGCAGGATGAATATGGATTCATAAAGGAATCACTAAACTTGAAATAGAATCATAGTTATTAAATCAATTGAGTTTCGACTTATAAATCCATGTCCAAGATTTAATCGGGAAATTAGTTGTTGAAAGGATTTTACATGTATGCACTTGCAATTGAAAATGTTTACTCGCTATTTCACTTAACACTAGATGATCATGCTACTTGCTAGGTGTTCCCATGATTTGTGGGTTCTTGATATTAAGGAGTTAATTTTAAGAATATAAATTAATTAGATTAATTTAATTTACAAACGAGTTGTAAACCCACTACTTGTGTTAATCGTGAACCTAAAAGGGTCACACCAAATTTTGGATGATGACTATTGTGAAATTGGTATTTCAATAGTTGGATTAATTGACAAGACTTAATTAAATAATTTGACTATTTAATTAAATCTAATTTTGATTAGAAGTCCATTAAAGGAATATAATAAATTAATCAATTGGATTGATTAATTAGGCTTTGGTTATTAATTAAGTAATTATTGGAATTACTAAATTAATAGTTGGATTTTAAAATTCAAATCCAAAGAATAATATGATTATAAAAGGAGGAGATTTTATTCTATTGTTTCATAAATTATTTGTTATTATTAATCTTTAATTTAGATTAGAGATTAAATATTAATGAAATTTAAATAGTTATTGTAGATGGGAGTTGTTACCTACTCTACATATTTATATTTATTTTTATTATTAATAAAATTGGGTAAGAATAGTCTTACCAAGACTTAATTTTTTATGAAAAATATTCTACCCAACATTACATTTTTTATACATAAAATTTTAATGTAAAGAAGTACATATATGATGTATGAAAAATGGAGAAGGACGTCTTGCACTTTGAGAAAGTGAAGAAAGAAAAATTATCTCTCCTATTATTGCAAGAATTGTTCTTGAAGAAAAAAAAAAAATATCCTCTTTTAATTTCAATTCCATATACCAATTGAGTTCCGAAAAATTTCTACTAGCGAAGAAATTATTTTCGGAGTCGGAATCCAAATGGGTGGACTCGATTAGAGGGGAGACACTTGGATCCCTTAAGGAGTAAGAAGACGGTGATAACCACATAACCGGGAATTGATTTCCTCTTCATCGTCTCTCTTCTCTACAAATCAAAATTCGTAATTTTACGTGATTTTAAAAGATGCCGATCATTTTATTCGCTATATGTACTTATGGATTAAGTATTTATTTGATAAATGATAATTATATTGTATAATTTCCACTGCGATTTTAATCCGTACGGTATAGCGAACCCAACATCAACGACTATGTGTTCTCATCAACAACTGTATAAACTATATAATTGTTTTGTGTATTTAAATGCAGAATCTGGGTAGACACATCTCAACCCTCGAAACTATATCTCCGCAATTGAACTCTATAGTTATACACATGTTGCCGAGTAGCATCGTTTACCGGGGTTTTCTCCTAAATCGCAACCAAAATTACTGCCGATTTTGCCTGAGCATCAAATCACAGACAATATCTTTAGATGAAGCGATAAGTCCGCTCATATGCCGATAACTCTCAGGATACACAAACCATTGTATGATTATGTATTCCCTTCTTACCATTAGGACTTACACAGATCCTACAATATGTAGATCTTGCCACCTGTTTGACTGCTATCTCAAAAGGGCATTTGCAGGCTTTAGTTTTCGAACGTTTGGCAGCAGCCTTATCTATATCTCCTAAACTGTCTTTGTAACGTTTCCCTTGCGAATACTTCAAAATCTTCGACTTTCCATTTGTGTTTCGAAATGACCAATTCGAAACCATAATAATTTGCCATATTTTTTGCTCATGTAATAGCTTCTTCACCACTATCAAATGGTTCCTCTGTAGTGAAAGCATCTGTGTAATCAACACCGTCTTCTCCAAATATTTTGAATGACACCTGCAATATATAATTTATGAAGTACTCAATTATATTCTATAACATAATTGATATAGCCATACTATCATATACCGGTTCTGGAACCCTACACGACTAAGATAACAAGCTCAGACCGTCCACAAGACGATATGTTCCCACCGACATACTTAATCGACTCCCGTAAAGTCGACTCTATGCAAAACAACCGTAAGAGGCGAAAATCTGGCCAGTCGACTCTCACAGGTCGACCCTAATCTATCGACTTGCAATAGTCGACATCCGTATAAGAAGGACAGCAAGAGCGTAACCTCCGAACATTCAGATACTCTAAGTCGACTCCCTGAAGTCGACTTCACTAAGTCGACTCTCTGAAGTCGACTCCCACTCGAGAGAACTGACCAAGCGTAGCCTCCGAATCCTCATATGATCATTAGTCGACCTCTCAGATCTCGAGGCCGACTCTTTATACCTCGAAGATCAAATATGTGATGGCAACTCATCATACTTGTAGTATACTTACAGCTTTACATCTTCCAAGGGATAAGAAGGAATCTTGTGATGACTCAGCAGCAAGGGGAAATGAATCGACCAGGGCATTTTAGACCTTATAGGTCCACCGACCCGGGGTACTCGGGTACTTCAAGTAAGTGTTTACTCCTATATAAAGGAGTGGAGGTAACCCTAAACCTTAATTCTCATTCATTCCACAATCTCCTCATAGCTGCTACGCAGCATCCCTTCATGACTCTCATACTGACTTGAGCGTCGGAGGCTCTACGCCGGAAACACCTCCGGCGTTGAGTTTTTGCAGGTATCTCGCGGTCTAGCAACGATTCAGAGGCGGTTCAAGCAGATCTGAGCTCAAATCCACCGGTTTACTCCAGATCTGGAAGTAGACCCATCAATAATAGTAATAAATTCTGATTTATAAGATAATCAATTCCAATATATAACATAATAATTTCTACTCATATAATTTTTTTCATAAATAAAATTAACTAACTAAAAAAAAAATTAACTAGCCGACCGACGAAACCAGCCGCAATACCGTCGGCCGCCCGGCGATTACGGCCTCGTTCGGTCGTGGCCGACTATGTAGGGCGAGCAAGGTCACGGCCGACCACATATAGCGGCCACCAATGGCCTCGGCCTACATAGTTGGCCGGTCGGCGCGCCGCAAACGCCGGCCGGCCAAAAATTGCCTGCTAGAGAGAATTTTACGATTTTTTGAATTTTTTGAAAAAATGACAGGACCAAAATAGTTTAGGGAGGCAGTACATAGTAATAGGGGGCGGTGAATAGTAACACTCTAAAAATTCTTGGGAACAGGGATATACACGTAAAACGTAAAGACATAAATAAAAAAAAAATGATACAAACATTCGTAAATAATAGACAAAAATCATATTTATTAGTATTGCGACTTCAACTATGCAATCATGTTTTTTTTTTTCGCTACTAGTAAACTAAAAAAAGAGCTAAAATTTAAGGTGCAATAAGATTTTCTTGAAAACTTTTATAATGGGATTTTGGATCCAATGAACAAGCCTGTTTATATTGGGCTAAAATTAGTCATTAAGACCGAAATCAATTTCCAGCTGAGTTTTGTATAGAATGAGGTGTGGAACTGTGGATAAACACGTTGGTTCTTTGTTTCTACGGTGTTACCGAGCGATAAACATTCATTTTGGTACGGATTTGACAGCGGCTATTCTCTCTCCCTGTTAAAAATCTCCAATCCAAACAAACAACAAAGAGCTGATCGAATTCAATCCTAAAGGTTCCCAAATTTTGATTGCATCAACAAATCTGCCTTGTGGGTTCTTCTTCGTTGAAGAACTTAGCTGGATCGAATTGGCCGAGTCAGTCTCTTATCAAATATCCTCTGATGCTAGCTTCTTTTTTCTCAATGGCTTGAAGGTTCTTTCTTTTGGGTGAGCCTCGCCCCATTTGCTGGAGAATGAGGATGGGATTGCAATCTTCTGGTGAATTCCTCGTCTTTGCTGGAAGATTTAACCGTCCCGTTGGTTGACCGTCTGCTTTTTTAGTCGTTTGCCCTTGCTTTACCGGAGAGAAAAAAACTCGGGGTTTTGTAGTTGGGGGGTGATGGACGAGGCCTGTGCTGGTGGTACCAAGGAAGAGGAGCCAGAAGCGAGTGAAAGCTCCGCAGCATCTTTGTCCACCTCGAGGCTGATATCCTGGCGTCCCAAGCCGCTCGCCTTCCGACCTTATTCGTCGATTACGGAAAATAATGCAAAGCCCCACCTTTTGAGAGTAGTAGTCAGAAAACCGGTAGGTGAATTCTGCCATCTCTATTGATTTGATTGCACTTCATTTTACGGCATCTATAGTGGGCATCCCGTTAACTTGAGCAAATTACTGATCACTGCTGTATGGTGTATCCAGAACTTTATTGCCTAATCAAACACTTGTACAACTTCATTTATGCCAATATTACCTGGTGCTAACCTGATAAGTGGTGTCCATTGCTGCAAATATATTCATTTTTAGCGCAAATTTTAGGCCTTTCTTTAGGCAGCATTAAACATCATCACAAGGAGGACGATTGACTTCAGGAAGAGCCTACTGTTGTTCAGATACAGAGATAAACTACCACTTCATTTTGTTGGAGTGGATGGAGACATATGGGAGAAATGTTATTTTGAGGTTATTAGAGGACATACCATCTACCAACAATTCATTGAATAGGCAAAAATGGGTTGTACACTGTTCTAATATTTAAACGATACTTATTGAATTGTTACATTCAAAGAGGCCAGCAAAGAGTGGTCTATTTTATTCTTTTTCTTCTATTAGAATACTATTATTTGTAATTTTGTATCTTTATATGACGACTGCAGAAGCCTATTTAGCTTTCCTGCTGTAAGCATTTTGAAATGGTTATTTCCCTCTCTCTTTGTTTTTCTTTCTCTCTCTCTCACTCTCGCTATTCTTTTTCTTATTTTACCCTTTCGTATTGGATGACAATTATGTTATTTGGAGTGTTGAGTAGTCTTTGCTATTGCAAGGAACCCTCTTGATGTCCGAATTTATTTGACCACAACTGCGTGTACGTTTTTCTTTTCTTCATCGCAGTTGGTTGCCCGCTTGACAAAAGATATAGTTGAAATATACCAAATATGCAATCCTCAGTTCCATTATTCAACGGAATCAAATCTAAAGAGGTTTTTGACATCTCCATCCACTGGACTGTTAAATGATGGTTGTGATAATGCAAATTCGGACTTAATTCTTACGCCCAACTATTTGCTAGTTAACTCAGAAACAAAGCAGAGGTATGCTTCTTTCTTTCACTGTCCTTTTGTTTATGATACTCCAATATGCTTCAGGAATTGAGAAAGTGCATGCCTCTTGTTTTGCTATCCACGTGAAACTAATGATTCAATATAAATTTATGAGAAAAGTCGAGATGGAATCACTTTGCAAACGAAGTGATGATGATCTCCTAATATCTCTTGTGAGAGTTTATGCCCATAGTATTTAACTAGGGCGCACTTTGACAATCTTATTTATAATGTGGACTTGCCAACATGGTTATATCTCAAAGTACCAATGCAAAATAATTATGGTGCGATGAATATATAAATTTTTGGGAAATTTTGTTTCACTGGACAAGAGAGATGGAAAAGGTGGAAAAAGTTCTGGTGGAAGGATGAAATATTTTTGAGATTGTTAACAGGTATAAGTTCTTTATGTTATCTCTTATTTACTCCGTCATATCTCTGATCTTGCATGAGCAATGGACGAAATAAGGAGAGGAAAATGTACTCATTTGACGGGTATTCTCGTATAAATTGTGATAAAGCTACTTCTATACCTTCTCACGCTCAATAATAAAGTTATTACCACCTGATATTTTAACCACTTGTTTTCTCCAGCTCGTGCTATCTCAGGGAACGTATATCATTAGATATTGTCAAATGACTAACTGTCTACTTATTCTTATGCAGATATGTTGTCAAGGATGTTCTTGGCCACGGAACATTTGGCCAGGTTGCTAAGTGCTGGGTTGCTGAGACAAATAGTTTTGTTGCTGTTAAGATTATCAAAAACCTACCTGCTTATTACCAGCAGGCACTTGTTGAAGTTTCTATTTTGACAGCTGTAAAAATCCCTTCAACTCGATTTATTATTATCTTATTACAGAGTTTCCAAGAAAATTGTCAGTTATTTGCCTTTTCCTTTTCTCTAGTTGAATAAGAAGTTTGATCCTGAGGATAAACACCACATTGTTCGCATATATGATTATTTTGTGTATCAACGTCACCTGTGCATCGCTTTTGAGCTGCTTGATACTAATCTGTAAGTTGCTGCTTCATGACGTGGTTTATTTTGAATAAAGACTTTATTGTTCTTGACAAAATCAGGGACCTTGTCTGCGTTACCTTTTAAATCTTGTGATAGGTATGAGCTTATAAAGATGAATCAGTTTAGGGGATTGCCACTGAATGTGGTGCAGCTATTCTCGAAACAGGTAATGTTTTCCTCTTTTCAGGTTGATGTCAATTTGAGATGGTTTTACCCATGGTATGGCTGTGGACGGTGGATGCTTAGAACTGTGTTATAAGATCTATTTCTTTCGTCATAGATATTGCGGGGGTTGGCTCTTATGAAAGATGCTGGTATAATTCATTGTGATCTGAAGCCAGAAAATATTCTTCTGTGGACAAGGTCAGATACACCATGATGATTTTGAGCTACTAAATTCTGTTTGCATATGTTTTATCTTCGATATTTAGAGTGTGCCATGATATTGACAGCGTAAAGCCAGTCGGAATTAAAATCATAGACTTCGGATCAGCATGCATGGAAGACCGTACTGTTTATTCTTATATACAGGTGAACACATCTCTTATTTCAAACTAACATGTTTTGGGTTGGTAATGTATCAATTTTTATCTTTTTTTTTTTTTTTTTTGCNTTTTTTTTTTTTTTTTGCAGAGTCGGTACTATAGATCACCTGAAGTTCTTCTCGGATATCAGTATCCTATAATGTCTAAGTCAAGTAGTTTTCCTCCCTTTCGATTTCCTGAATACTACAATTTGTAAGGATGTCATAGTTCTTTCTTGGTTGAGCAGCAGCTGTACATGTTTTCTTACTAAGTTAGTGACACTGTATTTTGCAACATTATACTAGAAGTTTCAATCCTCTATCTATTTTCTTTCTCATTATAGTCACACACACACACACACACACATGTAGGAGAGATCGGGAGAAACCCCGCTTGTGTGCGTTTGAAGGAAATAGATTTCAGGGCACACTTTTGTGTGACTGTTCTCTCGTTTTTTTATGCATTGTCCATTCTCATATCAACCAAGTTCTCTGTCATGCTCAAATCTTTCTGATGCATATCATGCTTTGAGACCTTAACCTGGTACAGGTATACAACAGCCATAGACATGTGGTCGTTTGGCTGCATTGTTGCTGAATTATTTCTAGGCTTACCATTGTTTCCAGGAGCTTCAGAGTTTGATCTTTTGAAGAGGATGATTAAAATATTGGGGTATAATATTTTCTTTTACCTCTAGAAAGAAAATTGGTTAACTGATAATTATGTATATGGATAAAGTTATGAAATTGTTTTCATATGTTTCTACGCCTTTAGTACATTTTCCATCAGAAAAAAATGTCTATATAGAGAGAAATCATATTTCTTCTGCGACTTTTAGGAAATTGAGAAGAAATGAGAACCTGCCTTTTGCAAACATACCTCGGGTCGTTTGTTACCTATCTTTTAAATTAACTCATTCTCATATATTTTGTAGGGGACAACCTCCCGATTATATTCTAAGGAAGGCCAAAAACACGAGCAGGTTTTTTAAATTTGTTGGGAGCATTAACCATGCAGAAATAGACCCGAATCATAAAAGTAATTGTAGCATGTATCAAGTTTTGACTGGAGAAGAATATGCAGCAGTGAGTGCTAGTTCAAGTTTTTAAGCTGCATCTTTCTAATTTGCAAAGTTTAGGGTAATATATACTCGATGGATATTGACTTTGAGACTTGTGATCTATTGATCTGATTCATTGATGTTGTTAATTCTTCCATCTTTTACATTTTATACTCGTGTTATTTCATTTTTTTTCTGTTGCTTAAGATTATACCTTCATTGATCAACTGACTATTTGACAATTTTTTTGAATTCGGTGACTTGCACAAGGAAAATTCAGCCAAGTTTATTTATTTATTATTGTGGGAGTTAAATTTGCAACTTCGGTAATGGCTTTCCGCACTTGAAAACAAAGACCTGGGATGTATCATCTTTCCTCATTCTGGTACTAGCCAAATTTTCAGTATCCCTCTTTCCCCAGCTTCTGCTCTCCATGTAGCAGCGCAACCTATCCTCATTCCAACTTCCATGTACTGGAAGATCACTTGGTGCAACTTCAATCAAACTTTTCAAAATTCTACCATATCTTTCTGAAAACGTTAGGACTATTTTTTGTTGAAGTTTCATGAGTCTCCTGCCCAAAAAGGGGTATTCCAGTCATGCTAACCAGCAAGAAGCTTCTGCTGATGCCCATTCATTCTTTATATTTTGCATTTACCTTGCGGATCCTGCTAAAATGTTGTACAACCTCTGCAGTGAACCTCCTTGTGGCTTTTCTCTTGATTTTGGTTTTTAGTGTTACGTTTTTTAATTTATATATCTAATATTTAGTATTTATGTTTTTTTGAATTCAGAGGGAATCAAAAAAACCTTCAATAGGGAAGGAGTATTTTAATCATATGAACCTTGACGCAATTGTCACAAAGTACCCTTATAAGAAGGATTTGGCGGAGGAAGATGTCATTAGAGGTCATCATTCTTTTTACTTAAAAGGAAGCTACTAGAGGATATAGGATACCTGTGTTAAATACTTCAAGATTTGTATTATTTAACTTACTGTTTATTTTTGCAGAAAGTCAAATACGATTAGCATTGATTGATTTCTTAAGGGGACTCGTTGAATTTGATCCAGCTAAACGGTGGTCTCCTTTGCAGGTGATTGAATATGATTAAACTACTGGTCTTCCTATTATTCATCTTTTCTTTGGTCTTGTTAGTTTTCTTACATCCACAATATTTTAAGGCACCCTGTGGAATGGTTTTTCCGATACGTTTGAGTATTATATTAGTCCACAACATAAAGAACATAAATATTCATTTTAACACCATAAATGCTTGCTAATTCTTGAATTATAACGTCGTTATCATGAGTTGCCTATGAAAAGTGTTGCACTGACAAGATGGCAATTGCCTTGTTGGAAATCTCAGCAGAATGTGATATTCAAGAATAGATATATTTCCAGATTCGTTTACTTTCGCAAAAACGACATGTAGGCACATTGCCTAACATCATTTGGTCCATTTAAAATTTTATCGATATCTTAGTCAACTCGTAAGTGTGAAGTCTTCATTTCCTGGTGGCAAGATGCCTATGGAAAAATTGTATGAAGCTCTGGAATTGTTTGTATGAACTCCAATATTTTCAGAACTTTTTAGAAGTGCATATCCCAATCTAGAAGCTTCACAAATGCATCTTAATGTATCCCTAAACACTTAAACATGATACAGTACATTAGGGTGTAAACTGTAATAAATAAATATAAAGAATGTTTTGAGCTAATTACCAAAATTTCAGAAGAAAAAAGTTGATGAATATCTACCACCATTGACATAATAATAATAATAATAATAATAATAATAATAATAATAATAATAATAATAATAATAATAATAATTGTATACATTTATAATAATAATAATAATAATATAATAATAATTGTATACATCAGTCATCAGTGATTGGTTAGTTTACCAGAAACATTTGGTATTCAATCTTTTTCATGTTGCTGATTGCTTGTGTTGAGAGTTTGTTACACGATGTCAAGCATTTGGTATTTATGTTTTTGTTTTAGGCTTCAAAGCATCCTTTTTTGACTGGGGAGCCTTTCACGTGTCCTTATAAACCTATTCCGGAGACCCCTCATATGGTGAGCAAATATCAATGAACTACATTCTCATTTTATGAAATCAATAGTCCTTGGTTCTTCTTTGTAAATAGCTACTAGATGACTTGTTTGTATTTGTTGTGAAAAAGGAGAATCATGCATTATCTACATTGTGAGAATCAAGCGCTGACCATGAATAGTTATTATCATGCAATCATTCTGACATACGAGGGGTGAATATATTAATAACCTATTTTGTGATACTCCATCAATAGTTGCATCTATTAGTAGTTGTCTTATGCAGGACCTTTCCTACCTCTTGCTTTGGTTACAACAACGACAACAACAACAACAAGCCGTTAAAATCCCGCTAAGTGGGGTCGGCTATATGGATCACATGTCGCCATCGTGCTCGATGAAACACATATCTTCATTCAAATTTAAATATTTTAAATCATTTTTTATTGTTTCCTTCCAAATTTAAATATTTTAAATATTTTAAATCATTTTTTAGATCCACCCCTCCTTTTAATTTGCATTCTTAATTCTAATGTTTCTACCCTTCTCACCGGGGCCTCGAAGTCTCTCCTACGCACATGCCCAAACCATCTTAATTGTGATTCTCTCATTTTCTCCTCTATGTTCGTCTAATTTTCATTGTCCACTTTTGTTCAGCTTGTTTCTCAGAATGTTAAGGTGGACCATCATCCAGCTGGGGGTCATTGGTTTGCTGCTGGTCTTTCTCCCAATGTGAGCAATTTCTATCTTAAGAATTCAGTTACACACTTGTTTGAATGTTTTGCAATTACGAATAATTGTCTGTGTTTTGGCATTTGGTGTAGATTTCAGGCAGGAATCGTGCGGTGATGCAAAACAGCCCACATTACCAGCTAATGTCATATGTGCATCCGGGTAGTTACGGTAGCTTAGGAAGCCATGGAAGCTACAATGACGGGTTGGGGCTTGGAAGCAGTTACGGAAGTTACGGTGACAGTAACAACTTGCATGTATTTTATTCTCCGGCAGGCCCGTCTGGAATGAGTATGTATGCCAAAAGTGGTATATCGGTTATTGGGAACAGCCCAGATACAAGGCGAATGATGCCTCACCCGCATGGGAATGGGATTGGTTTTAGCCCTGGAAATTTCGCTCCAATGTCTCTGGGTTCTAGTCCTTCACAATTTACACCCCCTAACTCGTACAGTCAGATTTCAGCTGGTTCACCCAGTGGGCATTATGGTCCTCCATCTCCTTTGGGGAAAACAACATCTGGCAGCCATTACAATAGAAGAAAAAACTGGGCTGCCTTTCATGGGAATTACCAATCGCAAGAAACATTACCGGATGCCAGCACCAATAGTTGCCGGCAGTCTGAGGGTAACAATTGTGCATTTGTTGGGTCTCCATCTACTCATCATAACCATAGACAGCACAGCAATCCCCCAACATGGAGATCACAAGGAAGCGGGAGTATAACAACCTCATCCCATACGCTAACTCTTCAGGACAAGTCTGAGGCTAGCAACTCGCTGCCTGATCCTGCAGACTGGGATCCCAATTATAGGTATATTTAGTAGTTATGCATGTTTGATATATAGGGCGTGTCTGATTAGTTGTTAGTGGGATTTTGATTTTATATTAATATAATATTTAAAATTAAATAATTAAAGTTGATTTAATATAAAGGTTGGAGAGAAATGATGTGAAGTGATAGTTAAAATTATGTGAGTGAATGAATAGTGAATTAAAGTTGATGTGGCGTGTAAGAATGATTCGTTTGTATTATATTTATAATATTGAGGATAGTGGGACTGGGTTAAATTGAGTTAGATTTTGAGTATGAATTGAATGTTATTGAATTATTTTGTAAACAAACATGCTCATAATTACTGTGACGCTCTGTGTCGAAAAATAGTATTTAGTTTGCATTTAATCTATATGTTACTAATGGGGTTACATGACATTAATTCTCGGAACATTTGGAGAATGATTTGATATTTTTATTCTCGTTTCGTTATTTTTCCAGTGAAGAACTACTTCTGCAAGAGGATAATTCAGATGTGAACAGCATGACAAGTGGGTTTGACAGGGGGATGCACTTGAGTGAACCTTCAATATCTGAGCCATTAATTGGAACCAGAGGATCCAACCGCAGCACAAGTAGCAGCGTTTCGAGGCAGAGGTGGACTTATAGATATATTCTGAAGATTACTTTCATACAGATAGTAAAAATATCTGGGAACTGTCAATGCGCACTTAACTTATCCATGCTATATTTACGTATTTGTTTAGGTGTCTGTTATTCGTTAATGACAGTATGCTAATGCTTTCTTTCTCCCACACTGTTAATTATGGAGGCTAAGAAGGTTAATACTTTTTTTGGGGGGTCATTAATTATGTAGGCATGAAGTGCCTCCCCCTGTTCAGTCTTCTTGTCTTGGAGGAGCAAGCAGCAACCCTGCCATTTATGGCTATAATGCACAGATGAGAAATCAGTCATATTTTGTGCCTAATATGTCACAAAGTTCTCCAGGTGTCAGATTAGGGCAGCAGCCAGTTCAGTGGCACAACCATTCAGGAAGATCATCATCCGCACAATTTCGTGATGGTGAGTGAGTGAAGTCACTAAACCTAGTCTCGTAAATAAAGTGAAAGGCTAATTAGTACTTTTTTTTTACAGGACGGCGAGGCAGTTACTCAGTCTCCAATGCTCCTCCTGCCTTTCATGGGAGAAAGGATTGTGGAAGGAATGCGTAATATATTTTTTACAACAAAGGGACTTTTGATTTATGGAAGTGTAGATGATGATGACTCGGTCGATCTCTGTGTGGAAAATTTATTTTCTTATACACCATTTCTTGTATGATGCATTCAGTTATGCTCTTTTTATTTGAAGTCCTTGGATTTGTTGGCAGTGTAGTGGGAGAGCTCTTATTGTAACTTATCAAACTTCTGTTTCTCCTGCAAATTGTCTTTGTTAAATATGCTCTATCATGCTTCTTTTATTTTCCGATTCTAATTTATTTGATTAGCTTGTTGTTATGGAATTGAGGTCGATGTGGTTTTGGTTCCATCAGTATACCTATATTATTTAAGGAGTTTTACTTGAATATAAACTTAATAAAGTAAGGCTTGGAATTAAGTTGGTACTCATTTTAACTGAATGTAACATTGTTGCCGGTTAAACAACAATATAAGCAAGCCACATTATCTATATACAATTGTGGCACTGAATGTCTAACTAACATTGATCATGTGTTCATCTGAAAAAACCCGTATCATTTTTAATTATTTATTATGAATATATATATGTGTGTATCATGTATTTAGATCAGCAAACCTCAAATGTTGTGGTTGAATAAATTAATCAAATGTCTACTAATAAAATAGAATGTGCACTAAAATAAATGTTAAGCTTCTTACTACATAATTAAAGAATCATCTCCAATGTTCACAAATCCCAATTTTATTTAATTCGTCAAAGCTTAACACTTCTAATTAAGAAAGAAAAATAAATGTTTTACTCAGAATTAATAATTTTATTTTCTCTCTACTCACTTTTTCGTAAATGAGAAGATGTGATTATGCTATGCCAACACACGGGGACATGCATGCATACATGCATCAAAAACCACATTAGTTATCACATTATGCAGTAAAGTGTTAAAAAATAAGGATAATATTAAATTTAATGATTTGACATGGAACTTTTATTACTAGGCACCACCTCAACAATGAACATATTGTTTCAGGTATTTTTCTTTTATTTTTGGGTGAAAAGCGAAGGTGTCACAGTTTGGAAACTTGGAAGGCTGTAAACCACCCAAAGCAGCCCCAAATATCTGAACCAGCCAATAGCTATTGGCCTCTCCCTCTCCCCATATCCTTTAACTTATTTCTCCAAATATAAAATTATCCCTTTTGTTTTCTTTTCTTTTCTTTGAACGTTGTAATAATAATAATAAATAGTAATGTGAGGCTACTAATCTCAGCTGCAACAGGACAGAAGAAATCGGCACTGCTGCAAAATCACTCACAGGTAACAAAAAATCCATGAAAATAAATTAATCTTCTCTGCGATCTCGCTTTCTAAGTATTCATTTCTCAAATTTATACCATTTTTTCTTCTTCCTTTTCACCCATCTACTTGGTCTTTCATCGATCTTATCGAGCTACGATAGTTACAGTTTGTTCAAATCCCAGTCCCAGCTACCTTGAAACAAACAATAACAAGAGAAGCATTTATTAACTCCATTTCTTCTATCAATTTGTTGAAAATTGTTCATAAACACAGGATAATTAAAGAAAAAAAAAAAAAAGAGTTGGTGTTGATGTATGTGATATCAGGCGTGTGAATCATGGCCACTGCTGCTACTGTTGTCGGAATTAGCACTGGTAAAAGGCTTCATCTCGCCGTTAAATGCACCACCGACAAGCTGCAATTTCAACCTAAAGAGAGAATTACTATCACTTCAAAAAAGTCATCATCAAACGGACGGCAAAATCCTCAGTCCATCAAACAAAATCATCACCTGGAATCTGCTGCTACATTGGAGCCTCAGCTAGAAACTTGCGATCCTGAGTATTCGGTTGATGCTATCCTTCTCTGGCAGAAATCTATGCTTGAAGAGCAGTGGAATCTTTCCCCCACGAAAACATCTACTAAACCAAAAGATAGAGAAAGAGCCCCGAAGCAAATTCAAGTAATCTGCTCTGGAACTTCTGCACGGCGTCGCAGGATAGACTCCAGAGCAAAGGTTTTCAGTAGGAAAAATCATAATCATTCGTGGAGGCCCTTTATCAGTCCAGATAAGAGTAGCTTGAAAGGTTATGTAAAGGGTATTGTAAGTGAAGAATTGCTTAGTCATGCCCAAGTCGTTCAACTATCACAGAAGATTAAAACTGGCCTTTTGGTGGAAGAGCGTCGGTCCAGGTTGAGACTCAATTCACCTCTTCTATCCCTTAATAATATTTCATTCACATTAAAAAATGAATTTGTTCTCCGAGTTTGCTTTTCAATTATATTTATTTATCAGGCTGAAAGACAGATTGGGATGTGAGCCTTCAGATGAGCAACTTGCAAATTCCCTTAGGATTAGCCGCACTAATTTACAGTCCAAATTGATTGAATGTTCACTGGCGAGAGAAAAGTTGGCTATGAGCAATGTTCGTCTTGTCATGTCTATCGCTCAAAGATACGACAACATGGGTGCTGAAATGGCTGACCTTATTCAGGTTACCTTTTCTTTTCCGCTTGATTCAGTGTGCATGTGTTGGTTGATCTAATTTCAGCAGGACAAACTGAATTTTCTTTGGCTTGTGCAGGGTGGTCTGATTGGATTGCTTCGAGGAATTGAGAAGTATGATTCTTCAAAGGGATTTAAAATCTCAACTTATGTTTATTGGTGGATTCGGCAGGTTAGCTTAAGTTTAAGCTTTCAAGATAATTTGTTGTATTTTCTTACTTCTCCATGCAAATGTAGAGACGAAATAACGTGAAATCTTCTGAATTCGCATCTTTCACTGTGTCCTTGACAGACAGGCTTGTAATCAGCTTTATCTTTGAGCCTAAACATGCATGCTGGCTTCCATATGTATGCGATTAAGCTGATTGTGATAACATCATTAAGAGTAACCATAGGCTTTCGCCATCAAATTATACGTAGGTGGCATGCTGTTGAAGATATAATGTGATAGGAGTAAAGAATCAGGAATAATAGAAAATACGTAATTTTACTGAAGATATTGTAATAGGGATGACCAGGAACTTGAGTACTTGACCAATAGGTCGCTGCCTAATTATCTTATTGATTTTTCTCTTTTATATACTAAACTATAGCTAATATAAAATGCTATTAGGTTAAGATCCCAAAAATCACCATAAGATATTCTATAATTGATATCCTTCCATTCTTTCTTCCCTATCATATTGGTTGATAATGACTTTAGACTGGATTCTGTGAATATAAAGTCATTATTCCTCATTTATGTGGGTAAGGCCTTTTGGCCCCCATGCAAGTTTTATTACTCAAAATTTTCTTGATTATTAATGAGGAATATGGTTGCAGTGAAGTGCTTAATTGATGATCTTTGCTAAAACTCAACAGTTTACTTTATCATATATTATATCAGTCTTAGCAAAGTTTTAAATTGATACTGTTCATTTTTCATTCCATTTACTTTATACTTTCTTTATCCCTTGTAGTCGAATAATGGAAGGTGAGAATAAGATCACCACAAAAATTTATGGACTACTGGCAGTATGTCATCCTGTGACTTCAATATTTATTATTTGCTATCTTGACAGGGTGTTTCAAGAGCTTTAATGGACAACTCAAGAACCCTAAGGTTGCCAATCCACTTGCATGAAAGACTGAGTTTAATACGGAATGCAAAAGCCAGACTGCAAGCGAAAGGAGTGACTCCGTCAATTGATGTGAGTCCATTAAATATTTGCTTATGAGATCAATAGTCATCGTTATAGTTCATTGATATCATTACTTCTAATCCTTCATATCTGAAATGTTCGTCCGTGGCTGTTTTTTTATCACCTTTTATATGACTTATGAGTGACCGTTATCTGCATGGTACTTCAGAAAATTGCAGAACGTTTGAACATGTCACAGAAAAAAATCACGAATGCTATTGAGGTACTCGGACTCTCTGACATGTGCATCAGTCTAATGTATTAGTCGTTTTCATCCAAGTAACTATATAAAACTTTTCATATTTCCAGGCAAACACCAAGGTGTTCTCGCTTGATAGAGTAGCATTCGCCTCATTAGATAGTACTGGAGAAAGTCACCTTGATGTAAGTAAACAATAAACAAGTTAGATCGTTCCATGGAATATTTTGTTACTATGGATACTGCCTTTCAATTATTACCTTGTTAAGCTCTAATGCATAAGTTTTGCGGTTTGCAGTACATTGCAGATAATCGCGTCGAGAATAATCCATGGCATGAAGTTGATGAGTGGGCACTTAAGGTATCACAGTATGAAATTAATGGAATATAATCAGCATGTGATGGGCTTATAGTGAAGCTTCTCAGACATGATTTGTTCTAGGACTACTGTTTGAATGATAACTACTCTTTAACACCATCAAGCTGAAAATGTTTTGTTTTTGTAGGATGAAGTAGACAAACTCATTACTTTGACATTGAGAGAACGGGAGAGAGAGATTATCCGCATGTACTATGGTCTAGACAATGAATCTCTAACTTGGGAAGATATCAGTCGACGGTACAACAGTGTTTTTTTCCACCATCTTTTGTGAAAGAAATGGATACTACTATATTTGCTTGAATTAACTCTAACTGGTCGAGGAAGTAATAATTACTCAAATACTCCTATTACATGTCCAGCATTTCCTTGTGCTTATTGATTTCATTATTTGGTGAAATTTCAGGATAGGTTTGTCTAGAGAAAGAGTGAGGCAGGTGGGACTCGTAGCGTTTGAGAAGTTAAAACATGCTGCCAGGAAGAAAAGATTAGGCACCATGTTGTTACAACATTGATGCATTTGGTCTAAAAGTACACTCAAGTATCCCATGTATATGTATATAAACAGAGGAAATAGTTATGATGAAATTTGTAAAACTTCAAATTACAGTGATTACAACAATAATGTGCTCCAGAATTGGAAAAAGATAAAAGGCAGATATCCCTCTGGAGTGTTTTCTTGGTTAATGTAATCACAATATCGATACATGACTGTGTTTTTCTTTCTTCTTCTTCTTCTTCTTTTTCTTTTCTTTTTAGTATTTCAAATGCACCCAGCCCATATTTCTCGCCTCACGTACAAGCCAGTCCCGCTAATAGCAAAAATCGAACAAGAAACACGACTGAATTTGGCAATTTAAGTAAAATGAAGGACTATCAAATGAAAACACAAATCAAACTAGAGCATAAGTGGACTAAATTATTATAAGCACAGTGCTGCGGCTTGAAACATATGAATACACATATTATAGGTTTAATTGCAAGTTTCACCTAAGCAGAAGATAAAGTTGGATAGGCATGCATCAACAAGAAACAAATTGAAGCAAACCAATACAGACAGATAAAGCACATAAGAGGATAAGAAGTACAAGGCCTTGACAAGCAGCAAGCAACGAAAATGAGCTCCAACTTAAACACGTCCATTCCACAGGCATTCTGAGCTGGCCACGTTTGCCTTAAGCAGATTCTCGACTAATTCTGGAGGGTGTAAGCCCAAGACCTTAGCTCGATTCCAGCGCTCAAGTCTGCTCATCCCTATGCATGGCCCGTAAGCCATATTCATGTCAAATTGCCTCAGAACCTCTTCTTTGTCATCATACTCGTCTGTGCAATTTTCAAACATATACTAATGATTGTATGATTTTCAAAACAGTGTACTGTTAAAACATTAACTTGCTACTTATAAAACAACAGCAAACAAGATTTAGCTCAATTGCATATCTTTTACTGTGAAGCCACCAATTTGGTATCAAATATTTTGTACCAAGCAGCAATTTGGATGATAAGTTTCATATAAGTCCCCTAGAAAGTATTGAACTCAAAGTTACTTTTCTTTTTTGGGCATATGGGTACAAATTATGGAATTTCCAAACAAAAGATTATGCTAATCACGACAAAAAGAAAAACCAGGAGATACCTTGAAGATCGAAGGAGCCATGGCCGACAAGAGCTGGAGGCTGAACAACATCGGCGCCGCAGGTCCCCGAGTGTTTTGTCTTCGCAGTTTTATTCGATGATTTCGGATATTTGGAGACACCCAATTTCTTCTTCTCTCTGAAGAAACCCTTCATTTGCGACGCCATTGCTGTGCTGTATTCTATTTTTGAATTTGAATCTGAATCGTGTGTGGCTTTGATGATAAATAGACTTGGGGCCAACTGTAAATATATATATAGGTCAAAACTCCACAAACCCGGCCCACAACTAAAACATAAGCCCATGACTTTCTTTCTTGGCCCACGATGTGTCTTTTGACTTGATTAGGGGCAGGCATAGAACAGTTACGTAGTGAGTGAGAAAAGAAAACAGGTGAAGGTTGGAAATGGAAGACGGCGGCGGCGGCGGCAAATCGGCGGCGATGGCGCAGCAGCAATTGATACAGCAACAGCTGATGTTGCAACAGATCCAGAGGCAGAAAGACGCGATGTCCCGCTTCCCCTCCAACATCGATGTCCATCTCCGCCCACAGCTTCACCATCCTCCTATCCTTCACCACCGCCCTCTAAACCCTAATTCAATCATTCCTAATCCTAACAACAACCCTAATAATCCTGCTCCGAATAATCCTCCACCACCACCACCACAACAGCAGCAGCAGCAGCAGCAGCACCACAAGGCCTCTCTTCAGTTGGCTTATCAGGACGCCTGGCGGGTTTGTCATCCCGATTTCAAGCGCCCGTTCTCTTCCCTCGAAGATGCCTGCGAGAGGTCTTCTTTTTTCTCCTAGTTTTTAGTTTTTCAGTTGTTGCCTCAAGTAATACTCAGATGTCCATTGTTTCATCTCTAAATTAAATTGTAGCTTTATATCTGCTGGTAGGTTGCTATGAAAGTTTAACCCTTTAACAAGGAATTATGTGAATATTGAATTGTGAAGTTATGGATTTCCACGTTTTTGAGAACCTGCTAAACTTATTTAGAAAACTTCATTTGCGGAGGCTCTACCATAGCAGATCAAAAGTTTTGATTCCTAGTGATGGTATGTTGTTGATTGTGCATGATATTACTGAAAGATTTTTGGATAAAAATGTTGAATGCTTTTTAGTAAAAATTGTGCCCCTGTTATATATGTATGGTTAGGCTATTACCATACCATGTGGTGGCGGACTATGAAGCAGAGGAAGACGACAAGATTCTTGATTCAGCCAACAACAACACTGCAGCTGCAGGTGGCCAAATTCTTTCACGCTCTCAACAGTGGGACCATAACATTGCTGCGAAAATTGCAGAGTTCACGGCCACATTCGAGAAGCAAGTCCTTGCATTCAACATCATTTCCCGTAAGCGAGGTGTTGGGGAGTTCCGGACAGAGGAGAAGTTGATGATGGAGCAATTTCTGTTGCAGGAAGAAAAGAGATCCCTCCTTGAGTTGAGGGAATCTAGGCAAAAGGCTAGTCGAGAAAGTCATGAAGCAAATATGCGCATGGCGGCCATAGCTCATGCAGAATCTCAAGCTCATGCTGAGATGATGGCACGGGCTCCTATAAGAGGCAGTGCCCTTGGTAATGATACTGAGGTCATGGGTGGTGAGGATGACGTCATCAATGGATGGGGGGGAAGCAGCAGCAATAATAATAATAATATGCAGCACAAAGGTGGGGATGATAAAGAGCCATCTGACGACTTTTTGAATGACGATGAAACAGAGAACGGAGATGGAGCAATCCAAGGTGAATGGCCTGGAGGAGGTGAATTGGATCTCAATGCAAGATGATTGTTTTTTGGCTCGACAGATTGTAATGTGCGACAAGCCTGTTATTTTCAAATGCACTTAATTATTGCTCTATGTTCTAATGTTACTACGAATGAAAGCAGGCATTGATCGAATGTATCTATCATGCTCTATACTCGGTATCCAACATAGCCAGTCAACTGTTGGCATGAATCGTGTGGGGTAAAACATGGAGCGTTCTAGTTTGTTGCTTTTTTAATAAAAGATAAATACATAAATCTAGGGATCTTCTCGGTTGCCGGACATTTCTCATCAAATTGAGAAAATGTGCAGCCTTGAAACGACAAGTCTTGCTACCCAGAAAACAAAGCACTAGACGTCTACTATCTTCAGTTGGACTATCTACGATTTTTTATGCACTCCCTATCCATGTTTATTTGTACTTATTATAATTATACCAAATAGTATTTAATCATACACAAATGCAAATAAATAAATAAGTCATATATATGGATATTATATTTGAAATTAGATAGGGTAATTTGTAGAACGAACATTGAGAACTACACTCGATCAAGTTACTCTAAAAGATAGGGTCTAGTGAAATTTCTCCTGCCCAATATCCATAAGCTTGATTTCCTCGGATTAGAAAACACCAACATTTGATATTTGCAAGCAGCAGAGGACACTAGCAGAAGTCATCAAGCTGGCTCCTTGAATTCATTCCATTTTTAAAATCATTAACTTTCCAGTTTTTTAAAAAAATCTGGTTTTGTCTCTTTTCCGACAGCGAGGCTTAACCCAGAAAGAAATAGACAGGAAAATGTGTGCACTGATTTCACAAAAGCTCAAAACGATAACAAAGTTCAAAAGTCCCACAATACTTATTATAGTCGCATTCTAATCATGAAAATAACAGAAGTACAGACCAGGTAACTTGTAGTTACAACACTAACAGCCATTATTATTGTACAGTATCCATCTTCAGCAGATAACAACTATCTCCATAGTTAACCTTCATTAGTATTATCCATTTTGTTTAAATGGAAACCACCTTCCTCATTCCTATGCACTTCGACCTTGAACTTCTCTTCTTTACCTCCTCTCTTGACCTTGAGAAGCATATCGAACTTGGCAGATGCTTCAACCACCTACTAAAAAAAATGTTAAATTGCCTTAGTATAACAGCAGTAAGACATACTTTAATAAACATAAAAATCAAGAAGTACCAGCCATCACAATAACAAGATAACAATGCTAATTACAGGTCAAAAGCTCTAACTGAAAATCTCACAGCTCAATCACCTACATTGCTTGAAAAAATCCTCAGTTCGTCTAACATTACACATGAAACACATAGCAGTAATATCTATGCCCCCGTAACCAAAACGATTTTCTTACAGAAGAATGCTTTTATAATAAGAATTCTACTATCAAAAAAGAAAGTTTCATTACAAAATCATTTTGTTAGGAACTCAATATTGTATTCATATCATGTAGAAATGGGCCTATGTATATTCATAGACATGATAAACAATATCCACATCAATTATGGTCACCAAAACTTTGCTTTAACTTGAACTCTTCCAAACAAGTAAAGTCAAACTCACCTCTGCATTCGCGTGGATAACCTCACTAAGTTCATAGGGAAATAAAGAGTTAGATCTCTGCTGAATGGTTGTAACAGCATGATGAGCAGCATCTTGAACAACAGGATCATCCACTGGCACAGAACGCCACCCCGAGACCTGATCATCTGATATGAACCCAAGTTTATGGAACCAAGAGTGTAAATTTAGGCAAGATACAAACTTGCATAATATTTAGCAGATATCTTCATTTTGATGCACTCTATCTTACTAGAAGTTCAAACAAAATATAATGCAGTAATCATCTTTTAGGAATAAACCATGAAACTTACTGTCAAGCTTATTGTCAACAGAATAACCCCGCCATATTTAACAAAAAACTTTGATCAAGAATGGAATAGGATTGACCTACTGAATTAATATATGTTATATGTTAGGAAAGTTATTATGTCCATTGCACATGGAGCTGGAAGAGTCATTGTTGACAATTCTCCTGGCATAGTGCTAATAATGGACTAGATCAAAATGGCTCAATTAAATTCTAGTGCTTCTTCTATTGTTAGTGAAGTTTCTAGAAAAAATATATATATCAAACGACGCAATGCACCTTGGGTCGCTACTGAAACAGACTCCTTGTATAATTACAAGGATAAGATCTGCGTACAATTGCGTACAATTGGCCCCCCAGACCCCAACCTGTTGGGAATATACTGGGTATGTTGTTGTTGTTGTTGTATATGTTAGGAAAGTTATGGTAAAATGACATTGATAGATATATGTTATAACATGCTTTATTAGATTGAACCAATTTAAAAAATGAACTTATGATACACAAGCAAACATGCTATTCCCGGAAGACAAACCACTACATTCTCCAAACCTTAGTACTATCCGAAGCTATGTGAACAAAGTTCCTACTCCCACGATGAGTCACAATTCGAGCTGCTGGATGATCAGTAATTTTTGGAAACATCTGTAATCAAATCCAACATACTCCTTTGGGACGGACAATAAAACTACTTTTAACAATTATAAATGCACACATATGATAGGTCACAAGTCTATTGACCATATCAAGGAGAGGGGTAGACACTATATATCATAAGTTAAATTGACAGACTATCTTTATATAGTAAAGGTGAAGAAAAACACCGACTCAAAGACGGCACATTTACTCCATATTGTTTCATGAATTCAAACTCAAATGATCTAAACTTCTGAGTAAGGCAATTGTTAAACAAGGTGGTTCGCTACCTTTCTTAACACCCAGATCCGAGGAAGTAAAGGAAGGAACATCTCCAACATGCTTGAATTCTTGTAGTTCCTTAAAGTCCATCCAGGGTTTTACCCACACTTTCGCCTCATAAAGTTTCTTCTTCCCAGCCTCAACCACTTCGAGTGTAAGATGATGCAGTGTACCTGCAACCACTTGTTCTTCCGCGTTCACAACCCTGACCAGCTCGAGCAATGCATTCTGGAAGGAAAAATGATATCTGTTGGGAGTTTCTATTTGTCTTTTTTCGTTTTAAGTTCAATAATGATAGCAATACGTGAACATCAGCGTAAAAACAAAATACTTCATATTCAGCGTAATATTATCAGCTAAAAAGTGTTTTGACAGAGGAAGATTCAAAGTTGTTTCTTCAATCCATATTCTTAATTGAATCAAATTTATCCTCAGAACAGTCGAGTAAGAACATAAATGAGGGAAGCTAGCAATCAGAGCGAAGAGAATTAAAGTTGCAAGGGCAGCTGAATATATACATGTTTGCGATTTTGCTCGTCGACAGCAAAGCGGGAAAGGGAGTCGATGTCAGCTTTGGTGTCGCGGACGCCTCCGAGAGTAGCCATCTGGACGACTGTATCGTCTTGTTCGCCGTAAAACCCTAAGTTTTGTTGGGGATTGTGGGAATCCACTAATAACAAAGGCAGAGAGAGGACGAGGATCCCAGCTAAAAGGAAGCTACCGATGGGCGACACTATCATTTGGTTGATAACGGCGACTGAGTATTGCGGTGCTTTAGTACAAAATGTAAACGGCAAAAGGAGGAAGATGACAGAGAAGGCGGACGCGTGTAGCCCATCCACGAGTTTTTTTTTTTTTCTTTTTTCTTTTCCCCAAAACACCCTCGAGTGCCGATGCCTGTGCTAGAGACTGTAATATCGACCAAAAAGCAGGGTCGATTTTGTCATTAACTACAAAAGAGAGAGCGTCTTTTAAACCTCACCCTTTGCTTTCGCTCGCTCTCCGCCGCTCGCATTTCCATTCCTAACCTCTTTTCCTACGCCGCTATGTCTGTGATCAGCCGGCTCGGGGTGACAGCCAGGCTCGCTTCTCGACTGCGTCGAGCCTACGGCTCAAATGCGGCGGCTCAGCTTGACTACTATTATTACGATGAGGAAGAGGACGGGAACCGGGCAGAAATGGCGGAATCGGAGTTCTGGGAGACTCCGGGGAGAAGTGTGCAGTGGGTGATAATGGGCGATCCAACGGTCATACGTCATGTATACGCCCAGCGGCTCGCCAAGCTTCTAGACGTTCCTCATATCTCCATGGGCTCTCTCGTTCGACAGGAACTCAATCCTAATTCTCCCCTCTACAAAAAGGTTCGCTTCATCGGCCTTTGGAAACGAATTTTAATTAATATTTTATTTTTTTCAATAATATTGAATTGAATAATGGTTGGGAGTGGAAAGGATATTTTAAATGAAGAAGCTTGGTGCAAAGGGTGATATTGAATGATATTAACTCGCGACTGTTTTCTCTGTGCTCCATGGATGGGTGCATGCTATGTTCTTTGTTTCTTTCCTTGATTCATTTGTAGTGTAGTGAGAACGAAGTATTTCCTTTTGTTTTATAATAATGTTCAAACTGATTATGGGTAGTAAATGAAATGTGTTTAACTTGTACTTTGTTGTTAGCAGATTGCTGCTGCTGTGAATCAAGAGAAGTTAGTTCCAGAGGACATAATATTTGGTCTTTTATCCAAGCGGCTAGAGGAAGGCTACCGTGAAGGTGAAAATGGCTTTATTTTGGATGGGATCCCTCGAACGAGGATGCAAGCTGTGAGTGCTTTTTTTCGTTTTCCTCTTAATCACCTTTGGTTGGTTTACAGTGTTTTACTGCACGGAGACCGTGACAAGAATTTAATTTCGTGTTTGTTTTTTACAGGAAATACTAGACCAAATTGCCCACATAGATTTGGTGGTGAATCTTAAGTGCACTGAGGAGTGTGTGGTGAAGAAAACTTTAGGTGGTGGAATTTATTCTTCTCCTCTCAATCTCAATCTTCAGCCAAATGCAGGTCCTTGTCAATCTTCGAGTGTTGACTCAGATCCCAACTGGAAGGAGAAACTTCACATGTTTTCCGAAAAGGTACCTTCACATCTCTGAGTATAAACACGAAACACTGAATCCTCTTCTAAAAAGAGAAATCTTGTGTTGTTGTTGTTAAGATAATAGTGCAAGTTAGCATTCTAATGAATAGGATCGTTCATGATGGAAACATACTGTCTATAGAAAGCTTCTGTGAATGTTATGATAAAGAATAACATTCTTGTAGAAGTTAGCATTTTGATGAGCAGAACCATTGATGATGAAAACATACTGTCAATAGAAAACTAGTACAAATGTTTCAATAACATGATAAACAAAAACATTCTCTCTACGTAGTATAGTAGGGCTCCTTTGTTATTGTCGTTTATATCTTCTGAAGTTCATTCTACTTGAAAGAAAGATGTCAATTGTCATTTCTACATTGTTGTTTTGTTCAGAGGAAGCCCCTGGAGGAATACTATAAGCAACAGAAGAAGCTTGTGGAGTTCCAGGTGGGCGGGGCACCTGGGGACCCCTGGAATGGTCTTTTGGCTGCACTACACCTGCCACACATGAATACTAATAATGTTGTCACTTCACCACACAAGTTGATGCCATGATTTCTATTTTCCTTCCTTTTGTTCACTTCACAACTGTTGTGGGAGGGAACGCAAGATATTGATCTTGAAATTTTTGTAGTGCATATATATATTTATATCCAATTTTGTTTTATTGATGAAAGGTTACTATCATTATCCTTTTGTTTTATGTTGAAGACTTCAAGTATAGTTTATCGCTGAATGGAGTGTAAACAACATTGTCGGGCATTTTATGTTGTGTTGTGATGATTTCTATTTATTCATCTGTTTTGTGTTGAGGTTTTATCAACTGATGTTAATTTGACATATTAGTCCCACAAGGACGCGAGGCAACAATTGTACGCTATAGTTGTTGCGATTTTGTCGTCTTTAAAATCAACAAACTGGCACCTCTTGAATATTGTTGAGTAGCATTTCTCTTTCAGGCAATGGATGATTGTAGCAGCAAATAATATTAACATGTGCATCGGACAAGAAAAAGAAGGCTCTTAAAATTCATTCAGTACTCCACCAATTATTAAGGCTCATCACTCACGATTCATCCATGCTTGCAGAAGGAGTTTATACCGCTCAGCTTTTTTATTTCCACGGGAAAATGGCAAGGACCGGAAGACTTCTTTCAAAGGTGAATTAAGTTGATCAAGTTCATCATCACTCGTCTGTGATTTCTCAAGAACTGAGGATTTGCTACATTTCAGCTTAGAACGGCTGCCGATTTGTCCAAAGATAGAAGTGGCTAAAGCAGAAGCTGATGGTGCCATGTATACAGCAGCTGCTGCAGCACATGGGAATCTCATCATGGAATCATCTTCAGAACCAAAAGAATCCTAAAGAGTGGATTCATAAACAAAATAATTTATCGTCGGCATCATATAGTTTCATCCAATGCTGGTAAAAGCATTCATTCAGAAAAGGAAAGCAAAATGACTAACAGAGCATGGGCTTAACCTCTGCATTTAAAGCTTCAAGAACAGCTCCAGGAATAGGGTCTGAGCAAAACTCATCCGGAACGAAGGATTTAACTATCCTCCGTATCAGCTGAGGCCCAAATGAAGGACAAACCTAGGGAAAGAAAATATAAAGCTCAATCAGAATACAAATGGAAGTTAATTCGATTTACAGAAATTAAGGCTGAGGTGGGAACCTCTTCTCTGATACTTCTCCTTAACAGCATATCCTTTGGAAGCATCATAAGATCACTCAGTGCATTGAGGATCCGAAAAGGCTTCGATGGTGTATCACCATCCATATCATCCATGCCGAAGAGATCTGTAAGCCATCTAGACCAATCTCCAATCTGACATATAAAACATGATTAAATGATATCTTACGATTCACAATAGAATACAAGATAAGAAGACCCCTCCCTGTCTAAGATGCATAAAAAGTGAGGAGCATTTATTGTTTTAGTTACGAAAGGCAAGAGACAATGTAGTTGGAAATGCTCACCGCATTTTTTAATTGTGCACCGGCACCAAAGCTAGCTTTCCCTGCTGGAATAGGAAGAACCTGTGCATCACTAATAGGGTCTGCCACAGGATCTGTCGGAATTTCATCAGCCGATTCTCGAAGGATTGCGTTAAACATAGCCACGTCTAGCCTACCAATCAGCTGCTCCATTATCTAGTTATCATAAGAATTTTCTCATTATCAATGAAAAAAAAAAAAAGAAATCTTGGATATCAAACTATTACTGTTACTAAAATACTATAAGTGAAAAGAAGGTTTTTAATGATGCTTCTCTTAGTATATACCAGTTTAGAGATCACAGGTAAACAGCCACAATCGTGCCCTTCAGCTCGAGCAGTGCATAATCTTTCACATGCATCCTGGAAAGCCTTTTTCCAGAGTTGCACAGAAAAATTTCCTTGCTGATGATCGACTGAACAAGACGATGTCCTTTTGCATAACTTGCGTGAATGAGAATCCATACTCACACGAATTGCTTTAGCAGCACCAGACTGCATATGCGGAGTAAAAATCTACAGAAAAAAAACACACAATTCAACATTTTAGCTTTGCGGGTGGTTTGCATATTGTACCAAAAACAATTTCAACTATAGAGGTTACAATACTGAAAAAGTATGAAAAGGAGTAACGAAAGACCTGCCACCACAAAGACTCGATGATTCGGGAAGATATCCACACTTCGAAACTTTCAAGTGAAGCTGCAAACATTTGAGGGTCATCCCTGTCACTGAGCCTCGGAGGGTCTCTGCTACTCTTGGACTCCCGTTTAAGAGGCGATGAACATTCTTTCTTTCCATTCCTTGCACCCACCGTTGATTTAAGACTGTCCTCAGAAGAGCGGTTCACAATAACTCTTAGCACCATTGAGTTTGAAAGCCAGAAAGTTAATCTGTACCGTGCAAAAGGCAATGTTTGTAAGGATATTCAAAATTTACAAATTATTGATGAACATATAAAACTGCTAAAGAGAAGACAAAAGAAATATGGTGACGGCCATCAATTCCCGATGATGCCGTTGTATAAACAACTGAATATATATATACAGTTTTAGGTTACAATTACCCTAAATATCCCTAAGGCTAAAAGAATACAAATATAATACATAATAACACCCCCCCTCAAGTTGGAGCATGCGGATTCCGAATGCCCAACTTGCCAAGAAAGAAATCAAATTCACGTTTCCCAAGCGCCTTGGTAAAGATGTCAGCCAGTTGTGCGCCAGAGGGAACATGAGTAGTAGAGATGAGACCCTGCAGAAGAGCATCACGAACAAAGTGACAATCCACCTCAATGTGTTTAGTGCGCTCATGAAAAACCGGATTCGCAGCAATATGCAGAGCGGATTGACTGTCAGAATGCAACTGCATAGGCTGAGAATGAGCGACACCAAGACAAGACAACAATCCCCGTAACCACTTCAACTCGCACAAGGTAGTAGCCATCGCTCGATATTCAGCCTCAGCAGAAGAACGAGCAACAGTATGTTGTTTCTTGGTTCGCCAAGAAACAGGAGACTGGCCCAGCTGAATAAACCAACCTGAAAGGGATCGTCTAGTGAGGGGACAAGTCGCCCAATCTGAATCACACCATGCATAGAGTTGAAGGTCACAGTCAGAACGGAGAAGGATCCCCTGACCAGGAGAGCCCTTCAAATACCGAACCACACGCAGTGCAGCGTCCCAGTGAGACTGGCGTGGTTGATGCATGAACTGAGCAAGCATATGCACAGAATAGGACAACTCAGGACGAGTAACTGCTAGATAAATAAGTCGCCCTACCAAACGCCGATAGCGCTCAGGATCGGACAAGAGAGCACCCTCAGCGAGGGGAAGCTGATGATTCTGCTCCAACGGGAAATCAACTGGCTTGCTCCCTAATAGTCCGGCTTCAGCAATAATATCAAGAGCATACTTCCGCTGACAGAGAAAGAAGCCAGAAGCATTCCGGGCAACCTCGATACCCAAAAAATACTTAAGCAACCCAAGATCCTTCATGTGGAAACATCGATTCAAATAACTCTTAAAAGTTGCAATGGAGGAGGTATCATTGCCAGAAATAATCAGATCATCAACATACACCAATACCTGTAGATGAACAGAACCACGATGTAGGGTAAAAAGAGAATAATCATGGTAGGACTGACAGAAACCATAAAGTTTGAGAGCCGTCGTCAACTTGGCGAACCAGCAGCGGGGAGCCTGCTTCAAGCCATATAGAGAACGACGGAGACGACAAACTTGTCCATCAACACCCGTACGAAAGCCAGGCGGGAACTTCATATACACCTCCTCATCCAGATCACCATGCAGAAATGCATTGTGAACGTCCATCTGGTGAACTTCCCAATGTTTTGCAGCAGCTACAGCCAAGAAAAGTCGGACTGTAACCATTTTGGCGACCGGAGCAAAAGTCTCATGATAATCAAGACCTTCCACCTGATTGTTCCCCAAAATTACCAAACGCGCTTTATGTCGCTCAACAGTACCATCAGCCTTGTATTTGATCTTAAAGACCCACTTGCACCCGATAGCACGTTTCCCAGAGGGGAGAGAGACCACATCCCAAGTGCCATTATTTTCCAAGGCACGAATCTCATCCTGCATAGCAGCTCGCCATCTAGGGTCGGTCATGGCATCCGCAAAACTACGAGGCTCAACGGCAGAGGCGACAGCAGCTAAGAATGTTCGATAAGCTGGAGAGAAAGACTCACAAGAAACGTAATGTGCTATAGGGTAAGGCGTACCTGAGGATGGAGACGGCTCGGGAGAAGCAGCGGGGGGAGCAGTCGAGGAACAGACAGTATCAACAACAAAGTCCTTCAATCGGGTTGAAGGAATCTTAGTCCGATGACCACGACCTAAAGACTCCGCTGGAGGAGAAGGCACCACAAAAGGCGCCGCTGGAGGAGTAGGAGAACCCCTCCTGTCATCGGATGCACCCATATCAAGAGGAACAGCCCCATTGCCAGAAGACACGGGCGGCACAGTAATCACTAGAGCCTCCTCATCATCTGACTCAGAAGATATCGGCAACACAGAAGATAGGGGTAGAGAGTCGGACCCAGAGGAGGTAGCCAAATAAGGGAACTCGGTCTCTAGAAATTCCACATCACGGGAGACAAAGAAAATCTGACGATCCAAATCATATAGACTCCACCCCTTCTTGCCAAACGGGTATCCCACAAACACACAACGACGACTTCGAGTAGTAAACTTGTCACCATTGCGGTCTTGGTTATGAGCATAACAAAGGCAACCAAAAACACGCAAATGGGACAAGGGAGGAGCAGAGCCGTAAAGAATCTCATACGGAGTTTTACCATGCAGAACCGATGAAGGAGTACGATTGATCAAATAACCCGCAGTCAGAACACAATGACCCCAAAAAGAAAGCGGCAGATGAGCCTGGAATCGCAATGCACGAGCAACATTTAGAATGTGCTGATGCTTGCGTTCCACACGCCCATTCTGCTGAGGGGTGCCAACACAAGAGGTCTCATGCAAAATCCCTTCACGGCGAAAATAAGGGGCCAAACACAAAAATTCAGTCCCATTATCACTACGAACAACATGCACCAGTTTCCCGAATTGTCTCTTAATCATGGCAAAAAAATTAATCAAAATAGAAGAAACCTCCGTCTTATCATTTAATAAGTAAATCCATGTCCCACGAGAACAATCATCCACAATAGTTAAAAAATAGCGTGCACCACAGAAGGCCGGAACACGATACGGACCCCACAAATCACAGTGAATCAAATGAAAAATCTCATGACTAACAGTTTGACTCAAAGGAAAGCTACGACGATGTTGTTTAGCACGAAAGCAAACATCACAATATTTATTCAAACTATGACGACTAGAAGTAATAACAGGAAGCTGCGATAATACTTGGGCAGACGGATGACCCAGACGCTGGTGCCACACATCAATAGAAACTTTCTGAACCTGAGAGACCGCTGCAGAAACTGTCCCTCGAAAGAAGTAGAGACCCCCCAACTGCTCACCCGCGCCAATCACCATCCTCGAAATACGGTCCTGAATAACACACAATTTATCAGTAAATTGGGCTGTGCAGTCAGAGCGATCCAACAATTGATATAAAGAAATCAAGCTACAACGAAGGCTAGGAACGTATAAAACATCATAAAGGGTAATATGGGAACCCAAATAAACAGTCCCAGCCTTGCTAGCCATAGTCAAAGAGCCGTTAGGCAATTGAACGGGGCGAGCAGGAATATCTCGAATATCAGAAATAAAATCCAAGAATCCTGTCATATGATGAGTAGCCCCACAATCGTACATCCAATCAAAAATACGACGCTTACCAGACAAGTGATTGTCCTGTTTAGCGGAGTTTACCAAAGTCACAATGTGAGCCCATTGATCATTGGTTAATCCACTAAGTGCAAGACGGTCAGAATCAGTAAGAGGAGCAATGCCAGAAGAAGAACCGATACTACCGGCAACGAATGGCTCACCAGAAACACCAGAAACTGCGGCATTTGCACGAGCTCCCCCTTTGCCGCGCGCGCCATCACGCCGACCTCCAGTACGACCACGACCACCTCCAGAATTATACCCTTCTGGATAGCCAATAATCTCGTAACATGTCGCGACGAGGTGACCCATGCGACCACAATGAGAGCACTTGGGACGGCCACCGGCGCGCTGCCCGAAAGTGCCGGTGTTCCCCGCCATAGTAGCAGACCCGACACCCCCCTTTGGCAGCTGAGCAGTAGAAATATGAAGCCCACTCGCGGCCGCTTGCAGCCCGACGAAGGAACTCGCCGGCAGCGACTGAGAGTGAAATCCTGCGGCATCCAAGGGCGGCTGCTCGTCAGTCGAGATAGACCGCATGCGCTCCTCTTGAATCATCGTAGAATAGACTCGATTAAGGGAAGGGAGCGGATCTTGAGCAAGAATATGAGACCGCGGCACTCCATACAAGGTCGAATCTAGCCCCTTCAAGAACTGATGGACACGTTCCTCTTCGCGCATCCGATCCCACGCCGATTGCAAGTTGCACTCGCACTTGCCACAGCGACACATCGGAGGCCTCTCAAAACCGGAGAGTTCTTCCCATATTTTCGTGATCTTGCCGTAATAGTGCTCAATAGACAAACCCTTTTGTTTACAATTAGCAAGATCAGATTTCAATTGTTGAATTCTCGGGCCATTACGAGTAGAAAATCGCTCCTTGAGAGAAAGCCATATATCCTTGACATGATCATGTTGAGTAATAGAGGATCGCACCTTCGAATCAATCGAGTTCATCAACCATGATACCAATAGATCATTATTGGCCCACCAATCTTCGTGTAGGTCAGACTCGACGGGCGGACATGGGATTGAGCCATCGAGGAAACCGAATTTCTTTCGGGCCCGAAGAGCGATACGAAAACTTCGTGCCCACTCGTCGTAATTGGAGTCGCCCTTAAGCAGTACTTGGGTAATTAGATTTCCCGGATTGTCGGAGGAAGTGATATCGTATGGTGAGATGGTTTTTCGGACCACCGTAGTATCATCAGATGTCAAAGAAGTAGCCATGATGAATTAACCAACTCAGTACTTGGGTAATTAAATTTGAATTAACCAACTCAGCAGCAACTCACAAAATTGGAATTAAATTCGTCCTTTACCCAAAATCCAGCAGCAACTCATGAAATATCTTTGCAACTTGAAATTAAAGGAGCAGCTCACGGACAAAATAAATCAAGCAGCGGCCTGGGCAAACTTGAATTTGACTAAACAACCAATTTTGGGAACTGTGTGCTAAATTGATATTACCCGCTGAGAAGCGACGGAAAACGAGGGCCGAATTCCCGGACTGAAAGCGACTGAAAAATCGGACTCGGGCTGTGCAAACAATTGGACGAGGGCCTACAAATAGTGAGAAGCCCGGAGAATTGAACGAGGGCCTGCGAACACTTTGAGAATTGAAGTCCGGATGTGAAGATGAGGCCGGACGAGAGCGTGTGCGGACAAGATCAGAAAAGAATAAATTTATCAGAAAAGAGAGAAAAAAAATCGATCAAATAACGCTCTGATACCATGCTAAAGAGAAGACAAAAGAAATATGGTGACGGCCATCAATTCCCGATGATGCCGTTGTATAAACAACTGAATATATATATACAGTTTTAGGTTACAATTACCCTAAATATCCCTAAGGCTAAAAGAATACAAATATAATACATAATAACAAAAACACTTACCTAGGAACATCATTGCCACATGCTTTTGCAACTAATACCAATCCAGATACAATACTTTTAGCTGCAGATATGGAGTTGTGTTGGTTAGCAGTAGTGAAATAGAGCCTTGAGAGGCGTCTAGCTGGAGCATGGACTTTACTCATGGAACTTCCATGTTCTGCAGCCACAGAGTAAAGGCTGAACTCTATGGCAGCTGCCTCCATGAGTTCACCTTCAAGAACTCTTATTCTACGTTCCAAATGCTGAATTCGACTACCATCTGAAACGAGTCTCATTGTTCCCTTTTTGTGATGATGAACCTTGTTAGCATCTTTCAAGCCCCGTAAACTTTCTTTCCATACAAAACGAGCGGTTCTGCTTGCGTCGATTGATTTTTCTTCTCCGCTCATCTGTTTTCTTACCAATTCTACCTCTGTCTCATCATCTTGATCTGTGAAAGTGAAACCATGTGCTCTTGGAGCAGCAGTTGGTGTTGAAGCATTATCGTCATCTAAATATGTTTGATGATGTAAAAAATCTGCATTGGATCCTTGAGTTGTAGAGCTATTGAGAACTCCGATTCTTTTTGAGAGCCACACAATATCAGTAGATAAATCCATCTCAACTTGAAATGAGGCGAATTCCCAGATGAGGCTCCTCCACTACTAACGAATGTGCTCAAGTTTTCGTTCAAATCTTTCAATCAACTCATCATCAACTGCTGCATTACTACGCAGGTGAACATAACCTGGGACAAGTGCATGTATATGCCACCAGCAGGTTAAGGGGTAGTTCAATTTTTGTTTTTCATCAGCCTATGGAAACTCTATCCAGAAGCTTCCAAAACACAAAAAGGAAAAGAATAGGAAACACTTAAACATAATGCAATGACAAGCTTAAACAATCACATAACACAAAAAGGCTTATCACAATGCTGAAGCATCTCCAGATATGCTTATGTTAATTTATTTGTGCCATTTATGGTGGGATTAAATATAATGAATTTATCCTAGTCTGGTGTGTGTGTTTATATGGGAATGTGGGATGTAATTGTCAAAGTTAAACCATATAATGACAAGAGAACCGAAAGTAGGTGTACGTACCCATAGGCTATAGTCCATAGTCCTAAGTAACCAAAAAAGTTGTAGCCTTGTTTGATATAACTATTTTTCAAGTGGGACTTTGCGTTTGGGCAAATTATATAGAAATTCTTCACTGATGTAGTAAAGCGTACGAGTGGGAGGATAAACGAAATACTCTCTGGATAAAACCAATCAATTCATATTTTCTTCATTCAAAATCAACTGAATAACACAAAAGATGAATAGTCCTTTAAATAAGGCTCATAAAACCCTAATACTAATTTGTCCAACAACACAAGAATCCTAACAATACTAACTTGTCCAACAAGACAAGAATTCACTAATAATAATAATAATAATAATAATAATAATAATAACAACAACAACAATAATAATAATAAAGAGGGAAACAAATAATTAGATTGAAAATTCTAAACATCCTTATCTCCATCATTCTCCCCCTGTCGAAAAGGATTCGCCCTCGAATCCGAAGCAATCTCGTCTTCAACTGCTCCACAATCCCGACCAGGCCAATTTGAGGGGCCATGAACTTGGTATACTCACAAGCAAAAAATCTATGACAGCAACTCTCCACTTTGTCCTTTTTGGGCACACTATGCGAGTTATCAGATACATATGCTTGTTGAATAAAAGACCATGAAAATCCATTTTCCAATTCACTGAAAACATCCATTCCAGGCACACCCTCTGGCCTCACAAATGATTCTACAACTACATGGTACTCGTCCTCCATCGACGCCACAGGTGGCTCCTCATAAAAAACGGGTAGACCCTCATAATCGGACGACCCCTCGATATCAAAAATAGGTGGACCCGTATGTTTGGTCGACCCCTCGTCATCAAAACGAGGCGGGCCCTCATATTCGGTCGACCCTCGTGTGTCCACAAAAGCCTCTGAAAATTTGAGGATTTCGACTTGGAACGATGACTTCCAACGCCGATCGTCGTCTTGCTGCGCCTGTCGGAAGGCAAAGGGGTTGACCTCCGACAACGTTTCTTCGTCCTCGTCTTCGCCGTGCATCGGTGGTGGCGTACGCTGACGGGACGCCCCGCCAGGCTCTCTTCCGCCACGACTTCCGCGATAACCCCCGCGATCGCCCCGGCCGGCCAAGTCGCGGTTCGTTTGCTTGTCCTGAACCATGTTGTTAGGCGTCAAATGCAAATCCTCGATCCCCGTCGAAAGATCGACAAACCAATTCGTGAAACGAACGTCCAACCGTTGAAATCGGTAGTCGATCTGTTGAAACAGATCGTTGAAGGTTGCATCACGTTGTTTGTTTGCGTCATGTTGTCGTCCCGACGACATCGCCAATGACTGCTGATACCAACTGTTGTAATAATTTTTACCGGAGCAGAATCAAAAGATTCAAACACCGGGTCGTATCGCAAGGAAGGTCAGCCGGATTATTTTTACGACTATTCAATCACACGAAAAGATAAAACAAGTCCTATACACTCTAATTCAATTGATTGGTTTCGATTATCAGCTACTAGATTAACCACTACTGATTCTCAAACGAGACTATTTCGATCACACAACTTCAAACAAGATTCAAATAATTGTAAAAAGGACTAGGGCGTCGGGGACAATCGTTTTCGGTTCTCAATACATTTAACGGGCAGTCAACTACTCGGCTAAAGGATTCGAAAAACCAATTCATCTAGAGATCTATTCTCAATAACTCACGTAACAAGAGAATATACATAAATGAACAATAATCGAATCAATTAGCACCTAGACAATACGTCTCCGAACAAGTCTATTCTAAACGAGCCTAGATCAATCAATTCCTCCCCTTTCGGTTCTAAAAATCGATTTAGTGGATTAAAATGGTGATCAGTCATTCAACCTTAGGATTAGCACGACTCGAATAGATGGGGTAATCAACATTCATACAAACGAAATCGAACCGAAACAATTACCCCCTAGCCCTAGTTAATAAATTTAGCTACTCATCACAAATTCAACATCAACATTCGTATGAAGCAAAGCCATAACATTCATCAATGAAATGAAAAAGAAGCTTACGATAAATACGAATCCAATGTCGAAAGAAACAACGAGCAATCCAAATTCAAAAGCTTAATCTTGGTGTTTTCACAATCCAAGATCAAATCCTAATCAAACTAAGAGAAAAATCTGTTCTGGAGTGAAAAAGCACGAGAGGGTTTTAAAACCTAGGTGAAAGATCCCCCAAAACTGATCCAGAAATTCGAAATATAAAACTGCTTGTCGCGACCCCCGCGGCCGCGGTGAAGAAAGCTTCGCGGCCGCGACCGTTCCCAAGGCCGCGACATCCACGGGCCAGAAAAGGGAATTTTTGGGAAGCTCGCGGCCGTGACTTCTTCTCTTCCGCGGCCGCGGTGAAGGTTTTTCAGCACAACATTTTTCGGGTTCGTGTTCTCACATCCGGACTCGGAATTTAATCCCGTCTTCTCCAATACGACCCCAACTCATCCATCTAGATGGTAATCCTCGCATGGCCATGCACCGCGCTACCTAACCTGCACATCACCACCGACAAGAAATACGGAAAACCGGGAAAAACGAACAAAAAGAGCAAAAAACGACTAAAACAAAGGAAATGCACGAAACGACTCAAAACGGACCAAAAACCAAAGAAAAATACCTAAGGAGGGGAAAAAATAAGCATAAAATAAACAAGAAAAACATGACGAAAGTGGAACGAACACCAACTGATGTAGGGAAGCGTACGAGTGGGAGGATAAACGAGATACTCTCTCGATAAAACCAATCAATTCATATTTTCTTCATTCAAAATCAACTGAATAACATAAAAGATGAGGAGTCCTTTAAATAAGGCTCCTAAAACCCTAATACTAATTTGTCCAACAACACAAGAATCCTAACAATACTAACTTGTCCAACAAGACAAGAATTCACTAATAATAATAATAATAATAATAATAATAACAACAACAATAATAATAATAAAGAGGGAAACAAATAATTAGATTGAAGATTCTAAACATCCTTATCTCCATCATTCTCCCCCTGTCGAAAAGGATTCGCCCTCGAATCCGAAGCAATCTCGTCTTCAACTGCTCCACAATCCCGACCAGGCCAATTTGACGGGCCATGAACTTGGTATACTCACAAGCAAAAAATCTATGACAACAACTCTCCACTTTGTCCTTTTTGGGAACACTATGCGAGTTATCAGACACATATGCTTGTTGAATAAAAGACCATGAAAATCCTTTTCCAATTCACTGAAAACATCCATTCCAGGCACACCCTCTGGCCTCACAAATGATTTTACAACTACATGGTACTCGTCCTCCATCGAAGCCACAGGTGGCTCCTCATAAAAAACGGGTGGACCCTCATAATCGGACGACCCCTCGATATCAAAAATAGGTGGACCCGTATGTTCGGTCGACCCTTCGTCATCAAAACGAGGCGGGCCCTCATATTCGGTCGACCCTCGTGTGTCCACAAAAGCCTCAGAAAATTTGAGGATTTCGACTTGGAGCGATGACTTCCAACGCTGATCGTCGTCTTGCTGCGCCTGTCGGAAGGCAAAGGGGTTGACCTCCGACAATGTTTCTTCGTCCTCGTCTTCGCCGTGCATCGGTGGTGGCGTACGCTGACGGGACGCCCCGCCAGGCCCTCTTCCGCCACGACTTCCGCGATAACCCCTGCGATCGCCCCGGCCGGCCAAGTCGCGGTTCGTTTGCTTGTCCTGAACCATGTTGTTAGGCGTCAAATGCAAATCCTCGATCCCCGTCGAAAGATCGACAAACCAATTCGTGAAACGAACGTCCAACCGTTGAAATCGGTAGTCGATCTGTTGAAACAGATCGTTGAAGGTTGCATCACTTGTTTGTTTGCGGCATCTTGTCGTCCCGGCGACATCGCCAATGACTGCTGATACCAACTGATGTAGGAAAGCGTACGAGTGGGAGGATAAATGAGATACTCTCTCGATAAAACCAATCAATTCATATTTTCTTCATTCAAAATCGACTGAATAACACAAAAGATGAGGAGTCCTTTAAATAAGATTCCTAGAACCCTAATACTAATTTGTCCAACAAGACATGAATCCTAACAATACTAACTTGTCCAACAAGACAAAAATTTACTAATAATAATAATAATAATAATAATAAAGAGGGAAACAAATAATTAGATTGAAGATTCTAAACATCTTTTCTCCATCACACCCACCTAACCTTCGAAAACTAATTAACTTGTAATAACTGTAAGTTGTGACGTCAGGTCTCTCAACTAACACTAATCAACATCACATTTTAATCATTCTATGTTTAGTACCTCAATGGAAATTGAAAAACCTTAATCTCATTAATTCCCGCTTATGTAAAGTAACAGTAATGCTAAGGAGCCAACAGTCAATGGGACAGTCCATGTGGGGCTGTCCCACATGGCTCCAATGTGGGACAGCCCCACATGGAGCTGTCCTATTGGTTGTTGGCTCCATAACGGAGCCAACAGTTAGCTCCTTAGCATTATTGTGTAAAGTAAATACCTTGAAAAGCTAGCACTGGGCACATGATCTATCCTAGATTGCTAATGAATATTATTACATATTAGAAAAGAATCTCAGATTTCTAATCTATTCTGCAGCTCGAAATCAAAGAATCATCAACATTGCAAAAGGACATATTTACATCTATTACCCAGCTACTTGCATGGAAACTAAAAAAAAAAAAGCAAGAATAGCACAAAGAGGCTTTTTCATCTTCCTCAATCCTCATATATTATGTGGCTAGATTTCAACTGAAGCTCTGACGAGAAGCCGTGGCGGATTTCTGATCAGCATCGTCAAATGCTGCCTGAACTTGAGCTGCATAGTGCAAATTCCAGAGGACATCCTCAAATGGCGGCCGGCTAGCAGGCTCCGCTGATATGCATTTGTTTGTGATGGATATCACGATCGACAGTGATTCCTGTGAGCTTGTGGTCAGCACTATTGGATCCACTATTTTTCGTCGGCCATCCTGGCTGCTAAATGATGTCTGCTAATATTAATTTGTAATTATTAGAAAGATAAAAAACATGGAATTAATTGCCCAGTTAATTAGAATATAAAGCATTTGATTCGGCCATACATTCATACCATTTCATTTAGTAGAAATGATTCCCCTCTTGCACTTACAATAGGCCCTACAAGGGCTTCGAGTAATATGAACCCGAAATTGTAAACATCATCCTGCACTTTCTCCACATGTAGCCTGCCAAAAAGATTTCTAGTCTTGATGGATCATGTACAAAAACAGCCGTGCAGAAAAATATTTATTTAGTAGAAAGACGAGTTTTTGTTTACCCTGATTCAAACGCATCTCTCTTTGCCTACAGAAAGCAGAGAGAGAGAGAGAGAGAGAGAGCGAGCATATATGGGTTAGAGAGAGATAGTACCTACAAGTAAACTAACGATTTGAACATCAAAGGAAAACAAAGAAACATAATACATACTTGGTGTTTCTCAGTTTCAGCAGCAATGATGGACATTCCATAGTCGCTAAGTTTTGCAATACCATGCTCATCGAGAAGTATATTATTTGTCTTGAGATGATTGTTAAAACAAGGTGGAATCACCCCAGTATGCAGAAAATGGACAGCTTTTGCCACACCTATTACAACACTCAATCTCTCTGACCATTTCAAGGCCTTATCCGTGGTGCTCTCTGTGCATGATACATTCATACTTCAGGTTCATTTTGCATAATAGTAATAATATTAAGTATTGGTGTTCCAGTTTCCATATATTGAAAAAGTAAGTACCTGAAAGATGAGAGCGGAAGTTCCCATTAGGAACAAATTCTTGCACAAGAAACAATCTATGTATAGTTGAGTCATCTCCATCAATGCAATGACCAAGAATGCCAACCAAGTGGGGGTGATGAAGCTTTGAAAGTAAATCAAGCCGCAGCCTAAGATACCGAATTGAGTATTTCCTAATTAAAGCCACAGATCGTATGGCAACAGTTGTGCCATTCTCTAATCTTCCCTTGTAAACCTGAAGAAATGAAAGGCTGGCATTTTCAAAAGGTAGTTAAAATGAACGCCAGCACATACTTAGCACCTTGTGCTTCAAATTATCGACACATTCAGAAAAGGGGTCGTATAGAGGTCTTTATAGCTATTGTGAGTCTGTGACTAACCTTTCCAATAGAACCCTCGCCCAAGAATGTGGATAAATCGAAGTTTTTGGTGGCTTCTTCCAGTTCTTTTACATGAAACACTCTATAGGGTGGAGCAACTTGATTCCCCATTTTTGCTGCCTCAGTAATGATTCCTGATACACCAAAATGTTACTAAAAAGGAAAAGAGTAAATAAACCTGCCCAAGTCATGACGAAGTTCATCTACCATAACTTTTGAAGTGGAACAATTACAAGTATAGCATTGATTTCATCATTAAAGAAAAAGGAGAACTTTACTGGCATTTGCAAGAAGTTCTGAGGAAAACCCTGACGGTGCACTATCTTGCTTAACCTTAGGCGCAGTGTGCTGGATAAAGGTCTGCTGAGTACGATTTCGTTTACACAAGAAAAGACGAATGACCAAGAGGATTACCACAACAATGAGAACCCCACCAATCACACCAGCCAAAATTGCTGTTACCATCACAGATGATATTCGTCTTTCCCCCTTGACTTTATCTTTGCAGTAAGCTGCAGGGTGCTGATTCTTGGCATCAATGGAGAAGCAATTTCCCCACAATTTAACAATTCTACCATCATCAGGAGTATCGAAGCAATCCGGAAGCTCACCAATCAATCTATTCTCAGAAAGATCAACCAAACTAAGTGCTTTGCCACAGCTAAGATGCTCGGGAAGTGATCCACTAAGAGAGTTGGAGGATAAATTAAGGTAACTAATATTGGGCAAAGAGAAGAGCGAAGCAGGAGGGGCTCCAGTAAGATGATTGTCCGACAGGTCAAGGTGCTGAAGTTGACTCAGTTTCCCGAATTGTTCCGGTATAATACCCAAAAATGAATTGTTGCTGAGGAAAACATTGGACAGCCCTTTCGGCAAAGGAGGCAGTTTGGAATCCAGATTGTTTTCTCTCAGATCGAGCAGCTGCAGATTAAAGAGGCTGCTCAGATCAGGCAATTCACCTGAAATCAAATTGTGTGACAGAACTAGCTCAGTCAGGGTCGTAATTCTTGAAATCGAAGGAAGCTGGCCCTTCAACCTGTTGCTCTTTAAGCTCAAACTGGTGAGATTTGTGAATGAGCCCAACCAATCAGGGACTGTGCCATTGAAAAAGTTGTCATCAAATGTCAGACTTTGAAGCCTCACCAATCTCGACATCCCGGGAGGGATCGAACCGAATAGGAAATTCGAACTCAGGTCAAGAGATTCGAGCGCGAAAAGGCGATGAATCTTATCGGGCAGTGGGCCCCAGATGCCTAGAGACACCAGGCTAAGGACCCTTAAGCTAGACAGCCTGGTGAGTGTGGTGACAAAAGAGTCAATAGAGAAACTGGAAGATAGCGTGTGATTCGGAATGGCAAAACCTGTGAAATCGGCAGTGGCCCGTGTTGCTGCAGGCTTGCCTCCCATAATCCTGAGCTCAGTAACAGAGTCTTGTTGGCAAGTGATGGTGAAAAAATCGTGCACAGAGCACAAATCGGCGGCCGTGCTGTTTTCCCAGAGGTCGAGGGCCAATGGGTACTCTAAATGCTTCCTCAGCTGAAGGAGGAGCTGCATCTCGTAGCTTTTCAACTCATGGGTTGTCCAAGCAAACAACAGGAGCCATGACGCAAACACCAAAACCACACTATTGCAACTCCTCATTTGTACATATATATTAGTAAAGCTACCTAGCAGCTTCAGTTCTGCAAAGATAATGCAGCCAACAAAACCCTACATAGATTCGTTCAATGACGGTAACAAACATTTGTGTGTGAGCGTTTTCTAAAAAAAAATACAGCTTAAATGAGAAAGTTGTGCAGAGACTGCATTTTTCGAGCTGTCAAAGACTAGGAAAAGAGTGAGAGAGGCAGACATTAGCCAAACGTGAGGAGGGGAGTGAAGGAATTTAAGATAAACTGGAATTGGGCAGTTGCAGACAAATTATTGGGATAAGATGTGAAGGTGAGAGAGATGTAGCCATTGCTAGTATTAATTAAGGGTGAAAAAAAGAGAGCAAAAACTGTACAAGCTGGAAAAGTTACTATAACGGATAGATAAATTGAACTCTGTGCAGCTCTTTTTTTTTTCTTTTTCTTTTTTGCAGTTACCAGTTACTTTATTTNACCAGCATTTATTATTTACTGAAGCAATTCATTTCATTATCATTTATCATTGAATAATGAGAGTTGTACCACCGCCAACTATTTAGTAATACCCCCTATTTTCTTAAAATGTTATTTTGATTTTATTGACTGTAAGAATATTGGTTTGGCATCATTCGAAAAACCTAAGTGTTTTCTAGAAGATTTTCTTGTTAGGCAAGCAAAATAAAATAAAGGAAAGTTTTCTATTTTTTACTTGTAAATTAATTAAGTTCCTATTATTTATTATTAATAATATATGTTATATATTTATTATAATGTGTATTATGGAATCCTAAACCTTTAGGAGAAGGATTACATAATATATATCTTATATATGTACTTACCATATATGCCACATGCATTAATGAGCTGGATTCTATGCCATAATTAGTTTTCTCTCTCTTGTAGGACAAGGAATAGGTGGCAAGGACTATGAAAGGATGAGCAATTCGTGCATAAGGAATTCTGGACGTTATCTAGAAGATCTAAGGAGGATTTGGAAAGATTCACCACAAGATCTTTGAAGATTTGGAAGATCGGCTATTTTAGAAAAGTTGTGTTCTTACACGAGTCTGGAACCACGAAGATTTCCATTGGCAACTCAATTCTGAAGATCTCCAAATCACATACAATGAAGGAAGATTTACTTTCCATTTACTACACTATTTTTGAGAAGAAGATCAAAGGAGATCGTGAAAGAAGGAAAGAACTTGAAGAAGACTCCAAGCCTAAGAGGTTGTATATATACCCTACTTGAAGATCGAATGAAGGCTGCTGAAATCATTATCTTCCATTCAATATTCGAGCTTCAAGCCTTTTTGTTTTATTTTCGTTGTTCAGTTTTCGGTGTTCTTACGTCATCGAAGAACTGAAGTCTTTTCTTTTGATTCTTTTGTTTTTCATTCAAACACTTGTGTGATCAGTGCTTAGGGATTAAGTACTGTCTTTAGCTCGAGGGATTCGAGAGGTAAAATCCACGGGACGTGGTCGGAGAAGTAGTTGATAGAATCGTGTGTAGTTGTGGCTAGGCTAGAAGGGAGTTCGAGTCGTGTAAGTCCAAACTATACAAGTGTGCACAAACGGTTTATCAATGAAAGAGCTCTGAGGGGAAGTGAGACACTTCCCTGAAGAGTTTTTAAATCTTCGGTTTATTGCTTCCGCTATTCTAGTTGTTTATTTGTGTTCTAACAAAGTTGAGCGCACTCGTTACAAAGTACCTACGTTTCATTAACAATTAATTAAATAAATTACGTTTTGAATCTTTTGTACATATTTTTCTATTATTACTCTCATCTATCTAGTAAATAACTCCGTATTTTAATTTTTACTCTTCATCTTTTCTCTAAACACCAATCTCTATCCTCATATTTTTTCAGAACATCCATCTTTATCCTCATTAATGAGAGTTATTATTGGCAAAAAAAAATTTAATTATTGTACAACTTTTCAAAATGACACTTATTAAAAATAGGAGTAGGAGTAAGTATTTACCAACTCAGCTAGGTTCAGTGTATCGAATTCCCTGTCACACATGATAATAATCCTTGTTCTTTATTATTAGATCAACACTAATCCTGCCATGAGGAAGTTTTATCTTGTTCGTTAACATTTTTTTATTTTATTTTATCACAACTGACAACACAAGTATGGCTATATATATCTATTTTTGGTTTAGGTAAAACACTGAAACTGTTCTGTTTTTGGAACCAATAACCAACATATGCTACTTCTCAAGTTTGTACCCCCTGTAAAATATCTAAAACCCAATTTTCATTATTTTTTCTGTGTTCGTACATACATCAAATGAAGAAGAAGGGCATTTTATACTAAATGCCCATGCATCTATTACAAACGACGTCGCATAGGAAACTTTCATTAATTTCTCTCAGCCATACTAAAACGACATCGTTCTCACTTAAGAAAAGTAAAATGTGAAATTCTATTTTATTGCTGCTTTATTTAATATGTCTATTAATCCAAAATAACAGAGATATAAACTTCAGCTTCTTGTGATCTTCATTTTCCTTATTTGATCATATATTCCAACAGCCCCCCCTCAAGGTGAGCGTGATGTAGACATGCTCAGCTTGGACAGTAGAAATGCAGCTTGCTTGCTGGGTAGAATCTTTGTGAAGATATCTGCTAATTGCTGTTGTGAGGAAACGTGCATGGGTGTTATAAAGCCTTCTTTGAACTTGTCACGCACAAAGTGACAATCAATCTCAAGGTGTTTGGTCCTTTCATGGAAGACGGGGTTGGCAGAAATATGGAGGGCCGCTTTGTTGTCACACCAAAGGGGAATAGGTAGTTTAACAGGAATCCCAAAATCCTGGAGAATGAAGGTAATCCACACCAACTCAGAAACCGTGCTGCTCATAGCACGATATTCGGCCTCAGCGGAGGATCGAGAAACCGTTTGTTGTTTCTTTGTTTTCCAGGAAACAAGACAGCCACCGAGAAAAACACAGTAACCGGTAATCGACCTTCGAGTATCTTTGCAAGATGCCCAGTCCGCATCACAGTAAGCATGAAGATTAAGAGAACCAGTAGATGGAAAGTATAAACCATTAGAAGATGTGCCTTGGAGATACCGTAAAATGTGCATGGCCGCTTCCCAATGAGTTGTGCAAGGAGAGTTGACAAATTGGCTAAGTTGCTGAACCGCGTAAGTAAGATCAGGCCTAGTGAGATTGAGATATAAAAGTCTGCCCACAACTCGTCTGAATTGATCAGGATTATCTAAAGGTGCACCATCCTCAGTTTTCAGTTTTAGGCCACAAGGTAGAGGAGTTACCGCTTGTTTACAGTCTAGCATGCTCATGTCACCTAAGAGATCAAGAATATACTTTCTTTGGCAAAGAGTTGTCCCTTGAGAGGTTTTTAGCACTTCCACTCCTAAAAAATACTTAGCAGTACCCATGTCTTTGATAGTGCATTCATTATGTAGAAAAGACTTAAGTTCAACCAGCAGACTTTCAGAATTGCTTGTGAGAAGCACATCATCAACATAGACAAGAATGGCCATAAAATCATGATTTCTGTGCATAGTAAAGAGGCAATGATCATGTTGAGATTGAGACATACCAGAGTGGGTGAGTTTAGCACTCAATTCCTTGTTCCATTCTCTAGAAGCCTGCTTGAGGCCATAGAGGCTCCTTTTCAGCTTACACACTTCTCCAATATTGCCTTTAGTATACCCAAGAGGTGGTTGCATGTATACCTCCTCTGTGAGAGTTCCATGGAGAAATGCGTTGTTCACATCAACTTGATGAATGGCCCATTTGTTCAATGTAGCAATTGAGATGAACAGCCTTACAGTCACTAGTTTTACCACAGGAGAGAATATGTCAAAGAAATCGATGCCCTCTTGTTGATTATACCCTTTTGCAACAAGTCTGGCCTTGAACCTCTCCACTGTCCCATCTGAGTTCCTCTTTATTTAATATATCCATTTTGAGCCTATTGCCTTTTTCCCTTTAGGCAAAACAGTCATCTCCCAAGTTTCATTGCTTTCCAAGGCTTCAAGCTCTCTTTGCATAGCAGCAACCCAGGCTGGATGTCTATTTGCTTCACCATAGTGAGTCGGTTCTTTATCCAGCAAAATATTGGACATGAAAACTGGACAATTAATGTCTAGGGCGGAGACACTATTTGCTATTCCACAGACATAATTTTTATGCCAAGAGGGTGGTCTCTTTGGTCTTTGACCTCTTCTGATCCCAAGGTCAGTGTCATTGTTGTTGTTCTGTTCCACATCTGTGGTGGATTGTGTAGCCCTATCATTCTCATTGTTTTGTTCCATCCCTGTGTTAGGCTGGGTGTCTTCTTCATTATCCAAATCAAGTGCAATGTGAGGTAGTGGCAATGTACCCTCCTGTGACTCTTGGTTATTCTCAAAAGGAAAATTGTCTTCCAGAAATACAACATCTCTACTGACAATGAGTTTGTCACCCTCTAAGTCATAAAGCTGGTATCCCTTCTTACCAGCAGCATATCCTAAAAACAGGCATTTGTTTCCTCTGATGTCAAGTTTGGATTTCATGGGATGAATATTTGCAGCATAGGCCAGGCACCCAAATGGTTTCATTCTCTTGTAGTCAGGAGCTTCACCATATAGTCTTTGATAAGGTGTTTTCCACTCCAGTAACTGAGAAGGTACTCTGTTGATTATATATGCTGCTGTGAGGACTGAAAATGGCCAGAATTTCAAAGGAAGATGGGCTTGGAATAGTAGTGCTCTTCCCACTTCCAAGAGATGTCTGTGCTTCCGTTCAACAATGCCATTTTGTTGAGGTGAATAGGCACAACTTGTTTCATGCAACATCCCCTTTGAGCTGAGAAAACTTTGTAAGTCTTTATCAATGAATTCTCTCCCATTATCTGTCCTTATCCTTTTCACCTTTAGTTGAAACTGTGTCTTGATCATGAGAATGAAGTCTTTGATCAGTTTCCCAGCTTGAGACTTATATACCATTAGATATACCCAAGTTCCTCTACTATAGTCATCCACTATAGTTAGAAAATATGGTGTATGTGTTAATGAGTCTTCTTTGCATGGACCCCATATGTCAATATGAACAAGCTCAAAACAGCCATGTGTTTGAATTTTACTCCTTGGAAATACAAGCCGATGTTGTTTAGATTTGAAGCAGATGTCACAAGCATGTAGTAGTTTTTCACTGTCAATATTGCACTGACTCCTTAGAAACTCAATGTGCCTTAATGCTGAATGTGAGGCATGACCTAGGCATTTATGCCAGAGTTCAACTGACATGTTGCTGTGAATTATCTCCCTTCCCACAGTTCTCTTTCTGTCAAACACATACAGATTCCCAACCAATTTTCCATATCCATACACTTCTCCAGTTTTCTCATGTTCAAAATGACAGGACGACCCATTGAAAGTCCATTTCATGTTGTTACCAGTACACATTTGCATGACAGAAAGCAAATTGTATTTAAAGGTAGGAACCAGCAATACCTCTTGCAAGACCACATGATCATCCAACTTAACTTCTCCTTTATAGTGCACTGTTTTCAAACTTCCATCGGGTAGGCAGATCACAATAGGTGTTTTAAGTGTTTCCAGATTTCTCATTTCACTTTTATCCTTGCAGATGTGTTTGCTAGCCCCTGTATCTATAATCCAGTTCATTTGTTGATCCATACTCACGGCTGACAAGGCATAGTGAATATCATCTTCTCCTTCTTTGTCAGCAAAGCTAACAAATTGTGCATAAGCCAATTTACCTTCCATTTCTTCTTTTTCTTTTCTATACTTAGTAAGCTCATTTAGTTGTTGAATGACTGAGCTTAAGTCTTGTCCCTTTCCTTCATCCCGCATATCTCTTTGTGGCTTTCCCACATACTCATGTGCCTCAGTGATATTGGCATATGATCTCCCATGTTGCTCCTTAAATTCTTTGTACCAATCTGGTACACCATGAATTTTAAAGCAAGTAGTGGTATTGTGTCCGTTCATGCCACATTTTTCACACACTAACCTTGCTTTCTCTTCCTTACTCATTCGCTGATGACCTCCTCTTCCTCTTCCTCCTGATTGCCATCCTCTACCACCATTATTTCCTCCTCTACTTGAACCATATGAACCTCTGCCATAGCCTTCTGTTTTTGCTATCATTGCCACATTATCCATTTTTCCTCCATATTCATTCTGCACATTTCTCTGCCTCTCAGCTGTTAGAATCATGGAGTAAGCTTTGTTGACTGAGGGAAGAGGATCAGTCATCATGATCTGATTTTTGCTGTTGTCGTAAACATCACTCAGTCCCATAAGGAACTGAATTAACTTTGCTTCAGTCTGTTGCTTGGCATTTAATTTTCCTTTTTCACAGTTGCAAATTTGTGGAGGTACAATACATGCATATTCATCCCAAAGCCTTTTCAATTTATTGAAGTATTCCATAACAGTGAGGTTTCCTTGAGTTAGGGTTGAGATTTCTCTCTGAACTTTGTACCTCAGTGGACCGTTGTTTTCACCAAATCTCTGGCATATATCATCCCACAATTCTTTGGTTGTCTCTGCATATATGAATGTTTCAGCCAAATCCTTTGTCAGCGAGTTGAGAATCCATGATATCACCATGCAATCCACCTTTTTCTAAGCAATATAACTGTCGCTGTCTTCATTTGGTTGGGTAACTTCCCCATTCACAAAACCGTACTTTGTTTTTGCCCCAAGCGCTATGATCATTGACCTTTTCCATGATAAAAAATTGTTTCCAGCTAATTGATGAGTTACCAGCATCATACCCGGATTATCGGAGCCGTGAAGATTGAGTGAATCCTGCCTCGCATCTGCCATTGTTATGCTGATCGAGCTCTAAGCAAATTGATCGTCTATTGTTGGAGCTGAATATCGACGTCTACTGTGGAGCGCAAGCTGAAATTGAGCTCGGATCTAGGTCGCCATGATCGTCTGTCTGATACCATGTAAAATATCTGAAACCCAATTTTCATTATTTTTTCTGTGTTCGTACATACATCAAATGAAGAAGAAGGGCATTTTATACTAAATGCCCATGCATCTATTACAAACGACGTCGCATAGGAAACTTTCATTAATTTCTCTCAGCCATACTAAAA